ACCAGGTGTGATAAGACATGGATGGAAAAGTGAGCCGGGCGCAGTGGCTCACGCCTGTCATCCTAGCACTCTGGGAGGCCGAGGCGGGCGGATTGCTCAAGGTCAGGAGTTCGAAACCGGCCTGAGCAAGAGCGAGACCCCGTCTCTACTATAAATAGAAAGAAATTAATTGGCCAACTAATATATAGAGAAAAAAATTAGCCGGGCATGGTGGCACATGCCTGTAGTCCCAGCTACTCGGGAGGCTGAGGCAGGAGGATCGCTTGAGCCCAGGAGTTTGAGGTTGCTGTGAGCTAGGCTGATGCCATGGCACTCACTCTAGCCTGGGCAACAAAGCAAGACTCTGTCTCAAAATAAAAAAAAAAAAAGACATGGAAAAATGACTGTCACGAAGGAAGATGTTTATATGCTTGGTCTCCTAGAAGCAGAAGGCAGGGCATGCCACACAGGGAAGCCCATGGGTTGGTTGGGGACAGAGGGGACAACGTGAGCTAGCGCCTTTATTGTGGTTTCCATGGGGAGGAACAGGCAAGGCAGGGAGGGCAGGCTCAGGATTGGGCCCTGGTTGTCTGGAGCCTGGCCCCGGGGTGCTGAGGGCAGGGGCTCGCGGCCTGGAGTGTGAGAGCCCAGGGAAGGGAGGGGCTGTCCCTCTGGGTCAGCAAGGCCACAAGATGTCAAAGTATCAAAAATACAGACTAAAAGGACATGATTGAGGCCAGGCGTTCGAGACCAGCCTGGGAAACATAGTGAGACCCCCATCTCTACAAAAAACTAAAAAATGAGCCGGGCGTGGTGGCACACACCTGTAGTCCCAGCTACTCGGGAGACTGAGGCAGGTGGATCGCTTGAGCCCAGGAGTTCAAGGCTGCAGTGAGCTGTGATGATGCCACTGCACTCCAGCCTTGGCAACAGAGTGCGACCCTGTCTCTAAGAGAAAAAAAAAAAAAAGACATGATTGATAATTGATTGATATGGCTCGTCTAGAGCCACTGACTCATGTCTCGACCCACCAGTTATGTCCCTGGCTGTTTATGTTCCAGGAAGACTCGATTTGGGGCTGGTGCACCTCTTATTTTAAAAGTCTTAACTATCTCGGCGGGGAAGGAGGGGGGAGCCGTGGACCACTCCGGAAGAAAAAGAATCATTTATCTCAGTAGGTTGCATTGCTACTAAGTGTGCACATCATTAAATATTTTTTATAAAAATTCTCCGACTGCCCCCCTAAAATAGAAGGCTATATATCAGATACTTTTCCAGAAGTATTTGTGTAATAAATTATAAAAAAATACAAAAAATTATCAGTGGTCTAAGGAAATATGGTATGTACTTGAGCAAACAAGAGTGTTCTCAATTATAATAACTTCTCGTTCAGCAAACTTTATCGTATACAGTCGGCCCTCATTCTTTGCCGATGCGGTATTTGCAAATTTACCTACCTGCTAAAATTTATTGGTAACCCCCAAATCAATACTTGTGGGACCCCAGGGTCATTTGTGGATTTGTACAGAATGGTGAAAAATCTGAGTGGTCCAATACGCACATTCTCAGCGGAGGTCGAACAAGGCATGACCACGTCCTGCCTTCTTGTTGCAGCTCTCGTGCTGTAAACCAGTGGGGTTTTTTTGCATCTATCGAGTGCTATATTTTGTGCTTTTTGTTGGTGATTTTGCTGTTTAAAATGGCTCCCAAGCACAGTGCTGAAGAGCTGTCTTGTGTCCCTGAGCGCAAGGAAGCTGTGAGGTGCCTCACAGAGGAGAAAATCCGTGTGTCAGAGAACCTTTGGCAGAGTGTGGTGGCTCACGCCTGTAGTCCAAGCACTCTGAGAGGCCGAGGCAGGAGGATCGCTTGAGCTCAGGAGTTCGAGACCAGCCTGAGCAAGAGCGAGACCCTGTCTCTACTAAAAATAGAAAAAAATTAGCCAGGCATGGTGGCATGAGCCTGTAGTCTCAGCTACTTGGGAGGCTGAGGCAGGAGGATCACTTGAGCCCAGGAGTTTGAGGTTGCTGTGAGCTAGGCTGATGCCACAGCACTCTAGCCTGGGCTGCAGAGTGAGACTGTTTCAAAAAAAAAAAAAGAAAAGAAATAGAGAACTTTTGTCCAGGCACACATGCTGGTGCTGTTGGCTGTGAGTTCGGTGTTAATGAATCCACAGTGTATGTGAAGTGAGGTACCTTTCAACAAAAGCACACATAAAATGAGATCTCGCATGGACCAGTTGCTGACTGTGTTATGCCTAGAGGCTCCTGGGAACCTAACCCCGTGTTTGCCCTAGAAGGCAACGGTCCAGTGTTCCCTAAACATAACTACCTCCAATAACAAGAATCGACTGTGAGTTTTTATTTCGAAATAGTCTAAGACTCATAAGAACGTGCAAAAATAGTCCAGACAGTCCCCATGCACCTTCACCCAGCAACTCCCAGTGGTGATAATGTCACGTAACCGCAACCCGCCCACGTATGGATCTGAGGGACCAACACCACGGTCAAGGGACAGAACCGTTCCATCACCACGAGGAGGCGATGCCTGTCTGCTTTTTAATTGTGGTTAAATACATATAATGTGAAATCTACCATCTTAACCATCTCTAAGAGCACGGTTCAGCAGCATGAAGCGCACGCACAGCGCTGTGCAACCATCAGCACCCTCCGTCTCCAGAACTTTCTTGCCTTCACAAACTGACACTGTGTCCCCATGAAACGCTAACTCCCCGCCCCCTCCCTGGCCCCTGGCACCCACCGTTCTACTCTCTGTCCCTGTGGATCTGACGACCCTAGGGACCTCCTGTGAGTGGAGTCACACAGGATTTGTCCTGTGTCTGGTTTGTGCCACTGAGCAAGACGTCCGCAAGGTTCATCTCTGCGGTAGCCTGTGTCAGAGTCTCCTTCCTTGTTATGGCTTCATAGTGTTCAGGGAAACAACGATTTCTTGACCCTTGTTTTGTGGGAAGCCCCATTCTGTTGGGGGATATGTCTTCAATTGTCTTCTGCTCCATTGAGGACACAGAAAAATGAAACAAGTAGGTTCTCTTGTATGTTGGCGGTAGGGGGCCTGGTTCTTTTTAACTCAAATTCTATCCCTCGTACCCCTTTGAGGGCTACTTGGCGTCCCTAATCATGACCCTAAGACATGAAAACTGCACTGTATCCTAAATCATCAAAGGAAGATTTAAGTCTATTACTATAGATTTAGCGGTCTCAGTAGATTGCTAAAACTCTTTGGAATCGGCAATTCTTATGTGATATTTGTAGTGACTTTTTCTGGGGACTCTTGGATTAAAGCAGAATCCATCTGACTGTGGGCAAAACCGTCAGTCCTCAATAGCAGTCTGTCAGCCGTGCCTGGACGCTGGGCAAAGTATGCATTTCAGGATTTGTCCCATATTTGTGCGTTTAGGTCATAATTGCTGGGGCGGGGTTGAGCGTGGTGTAGACATGGCAGGAAATGCCAGCTGTGGACCGTGTAGCCTTCGATTTAGGATTTGTGTGTCTTAGTACAGGGGTGTTTCTATGTGAGTGACATCTCTATTGCCTTTGCTATAGTAATAGTAATCGTTACCCCTGTCTGGCGACGTCAGAATGTTTGCGGTCCCTGACCGATCGCCATCTTCGCCCCCCCTGTGGTATAGAATGAACAGCCACGGAGAATAGATGTGAGGTGGCATCTCACACAGCTTACCGGCCAGTGTCTTAATTTACAAGCTTTCTTCATCACTCCTCTGCCAGAGAGTCTCTGGTGCATCCCACCTGCACGGCGTGTGCAGTCGCTTTAAATTTCCACCTAATTAAAAGTCGCTCAGAAAATGCTGAATCCGCTCCCCCGGGAAAGCAGCGGTGAGAACATTTTCTTGCAGGGCACACTGTGTGCCCGCCGCAAGGTTCATAGGCTCTGTGCCACCGAGAGCCGAAGTTCCAGCCGCTCCCCCCCCTGTAAGGTAGAGAGACCGGTGGATGGGCACGTCAGGGGCTCCGGAGCCAGGTGGGGAGATCCGTGGGCAGATCTCTTTGTAATGGTGCCGTTTGCTCCTGCCCGGGGCAGAGCTTTAAGACACGATTTTATAAGATGCGAGAGACTAAACTAGCCAAGCAGCCCATCTCAGCCAGGCTCGACGCAAGAGGTCGGTTTGTCAAATAGAAGGAGAAAGCTCAGCCCAGGGAATGATGGCTGCGCTTTCCTTGAGAGTCGCATCTTTCCATCAGAGAAAGTTATCAGTGTGTCCATGCGTCCTCCCATCTGGACCCTTGACTGAATGAGCAAATGAGTCTAAACAACCCCCTGGAGCGCCTGTTGCATGTGGGTCGAATTAGAATGGGCCCCCGGGGTCCACTTTGATGGCAGGGTTCTGTGCGGACAACCAGGGGCAGCTACAGTCCCTCTGGGTCTTAAAGTCGTCCTGACATCCAGGCTCTGGTTAATTAGCATCCTGCGCGTGGTGTCGGCATGAACCACGCCAGGCTCAGAGCTCCCTGTTTCGTGATCTTAGATTATTTACAGTGGACGCGATCTGCCGTGTTCTTGCCTTTCTTACCCCCTGCAAAGACAGGGGAGCGCAGAGGGTTTTTTGTTTTGTTTGACCTAAGGAGAAAATGCCGTGCAATTTCCAACACTAACCGGTCACAGTGGGGACCAATTTCCTGCCCTCCAGCGCCGCTGCTTCAGCCAATACAGCAAGGGGAAGACGGGGCTTTATTTTCTAGAAGGATCCTACCGAGGCATAAAAAGGGCGCGCAGCCCAGCCGGGTCCCAGAGCCCCAGCGTGAACATGGGAAATACTCATTCCAAGAGCGGCGACAGGCACGGCTCCCTCCCGGGCCGGCCAGAGCTGTCTTTTTACGGCTCTCTCCCCAGGAAATGGAGCGAGAACGTCCTCCTAGATAACCAGCTGCTGACCTCCAAGATCCTGTCCGTGCTGCGGCCGCAGTCGGAGCGGGGCCTGCGCGCGGGCGGCCTGCGCTACCCAGCCCACTTCCTCAGCACCAACTCCGTCTTTGCCTCTGTCGCAGCCTCGCTCAAGGAGCACCCCCGGGGCACCCTCCTGTCCGACGGCAGCCCAGCCCCAGCCCCGTCCAGGAATGTTGGCATGACGGTCTCGCAGAAAGGGGGTCCCCAGCCAACACCGAGCCCGGCTGGAACTGGGACGAGACTTGGGTAAGGCGGGCTCCCCTCCCTGCCGTCAGGTGGGTGGCATCCCTCGGGAAGCTGTCGGCAGCCCCTCGGAAAGGAGACCCCCCCTTCTTACTTAGGTCTGTGTGAGTCGGCACAGCAGCCCCCATGCCAGGCGACGAAATTCCCGTTAACGCCTGCTTCCGAGACCCGTGCCTTTTTTCAAAACGGATGTGTCCTGGGGTGTATCTGGCTGCTGGTGGAGCCAGTTTGCTTAATATTCTGGAAGGATCCTTGAACTCCTACCTTGGGTGGGGCTCCTTGCTGTATGCAGGGCGGTGCTAAAACTCCTGCCCAGGGTGCTGTGGAGGCGGCACCCGCCGCCGTCTGTGCCTTAAGTGGTGTCCTTGATACCGCGTTCAGCAGTGTCCGGGTAGAAAGTGTGCTAAGCCCTGCTGTGTTTGTGGTGAGCCGGTGGGCAAGGGGCGGGTTATATTTTTCCTCTGGGAAGGGGCTCCTCTCCCACCCTCGACTGTGAGGCTGTGTCCCCCTAACTCCCGGCAGAAAGACTCCCGGGGGCTTCGCTGGACTCCGGTGGTCAGTGGTGGTCAGTAAAGGGACAGCCCGAGACTCACACCCCCTTAGAATGTTCCCGAACGTTAACGTCACGATCGGAAAAGTCCTGGAGTGACATTGACAGATAGCCTTCCAGTTCTTAAAAACGGTCTGTGACAAAGTTAAGGCTCACGTGGAAATCTGGAAAGTTCTCAGTTGTCTAGTGAGATGGAGAAACTGATCTGCCTTCGCAGAAATGGGGGTTGGGTGTGTTTTAATTCAGTCTTCTGAAATCATCATTATTTTCACTTAGACCAATCACAGGAGAGATGGATGAAGCCGATTACGTGTTTTTAAAATATAAGCAGGCAGCCGATGACTCCCTTTCGCTCACGTCTTCTAATGTCGAGTCCGTTTTCATAGAAGGTACGGTCACCTGGATTCTCCCGCAGCTGTCTGGGGTGGGGGGGGTCCCGTCCATCCTGGGAGACGCTGACGCCCACGTCAGAGTGTCCGTGGGTGGGGCGGCCGGGAGCCAGCCCCCAGCATCAGCCCCTCATTCCTCCCTCAGACCCCTACGCTGCCTCGTTGAAGAGCGAGATCGAATCGGACGGCCACGAGTTCGAGGCCGAGTCCTGGAGCCTCGCCGTGGACTCAGCCTACGCCAAGAAGCAGAAGAGGGAGGTGGTGAAAAGACAGGATGTCCTTTATGGTAAGAAGCCCGAAGCCCCGTGCCACCGTGCCAGCTCTCCGGTTATTTTTCTTTCTTTCTTTTTTTTTTACCTTTTTTTTTTTTTTTTTTTTGAGACAGAGTCTCACTTTGTTGCCCAGGCTAGTGTGAGTGCCGTGGCGTCAGCCTAGCTCACAGCAACCTCAAACTCCTGGGCTCGAGCGATCCTTCTGTCTCAGCCTCCCGAGTAGCTGGGACTACAGGCATGTGCCACCATGCCCGGCTAATTTTATATATATATATCAGTTGGCCAATTAGTTTCTTTCTATTTATAGTAGAGACGGGGTCTCGCTCTTGCTCAGGCTGGTTTTGAACTCCTGACCTTGAGCAATCCGCCCGCCTCGGCCTCCCAGAGAGCTAGGATTACAGGCGTGAGCCACCGCACCCGGCCCTTTCTTTCTTTTTTAATTCCACCTGGGAGTCCAGGTTGCATGGCCGACCGACCTCCCCTGAGACCACGTGGCCCATTCCGCCTGCCTCCCCCAGCACGGTCCTGCCTCCCGGGCCAGGGAAGAGCTGGTCGGGGAGGATTTTGCTAGCACACATCCCTGTGGACGAATCTAGCCGAGTGCCCGGGTCTGACCCGTCCCTGCCTCGTGGGTGCCTGTCTCCGCCTGTCTGGAGGCGCTCACGGTGCCGCAGGCTGGGAAGTCCGAGATCAAGGCGCGGGCAGGGGCCGACTCGGTGTCCAGTGGCGGCCGCTCCCTGGTTTACAGATGGCACCTTCTAGCTGTGTCCTTACCTGGTCTCTCTGGGGTCCTTGTCATAAGGCCACTAATCCCATCACGAGGGCTCTGCTTTTGTGACCTGGTTGCTTTGCGAAGGCCCCACGTCCTGTTGCCATCACATCAGGGGTTAGGATTCCGGCGTATGAATCTGGGGGAACACACACGGCTGCGTCCATCAGTGACACACGCAGATGTGTGAGTTGTACACCCACGGGAGTGGTGTCCTCAGCACAAGGCCCTTGCTTAAAACCGCCTTGAAACCCCTCCGGTTGACTTGGGCCGGGAAACCCTCCTGCGATGTTGGGGTCCCAGGCCCTCCCCTTCCCCTGCTCCCTCAGGCTGCACCCCACAGCACTGGGCCGGGGAGGACAGGAAGCCGGGACACTGGGCAGTAAGAAGGACCCCGAAGGCAGGGACGTGGGCAGAGGACGCCAGCCCAGCACAGGTGGCGCCCACGAGTGCCCTGCGGGATCTCGGGGCCAGCGTGGGTACATCCGGCATCTGTGTCCCTGCAGAGCTGATGCAGACAGAGGTGCACCACGTGCGGACGCTCAGGATCATGCTCCGGGTGTACTTCAGGGCCCTGCAGGAGGAGCTGCAGCTCAGCTGCGCCGCCATCAGCCGCCTCTTCCCCTGCGCCGACGACCTGCTGGACATGCACGGCCGCTTCCTCTCCCGGCTCAAGGAGCGCCGCCACGAGTCCCTGGAGGAGGGCAGCGACCGGAATTACATCATCCAGAAAATCGGGGACCTCTTGGTGCAGCAGGTGGGTGCAGCCACGTTCATCCGAACCATCTTCAGAGCCCCTGTCCCCACCTCTATTCCTTCCAATAATAAAACAAAAGTGGCTCCTGTGTTCCGAGGGCCCCAGAGGGCACGTGGTGCCGGCCCCTCACAGCTACGCCTGCGGTTCATGTTCTGGAAACACAGACACGTACCGTATTTCCCCGAAAATAAGACCTACCCATAAAATAAGCCCTAGCAGGATTTCTAAGTGTTTGTGAATAGAAGCCCTACCCCGAAAATAAGACCTAGTGATGGGCGTGGCTACGCAGCGCATCTGCACAACCCATGCATTTCGTCTCGGAGCGGTCAAGAAGACCAGCAGCCCTTCCCATCTGCCCCATGAGAGCTCTATTGCTCGACATGAGAGATTGGGGCCAGTGGTTCTAAAGGAAATAGAATCAAAAGAAATTCAGGATGGAATCTGGGGTTTGGAGAGTTATGATGATGTTCCAGAAGAAGACGACTTAACTATATTTGAATGAATGTAGATTGTTGTACCATACTTAAAAAAAAATAACACATCCCCTGAAAATAAGCCCTAGGGTGTCTTCTTGAGGAAAAATAAATATAAGACCCTGTCTTATTTTGGGGGAAACACAGTAAGATAGCAAATGTCCCTGTCCGAACACAGTTTGGTGTAGTGTTCATCTGTGCTTTGTTAGCTTGCTTGGTTTTATTTTTTGAGTTCTGGCTGTTGTGTTTTTGACCAGGAGAAGCATACCTGTTGGCCGGGCGCGGTGACTCACTCACGCCTGTAATCCCAGTACTCTGGGAGGCCAAGGCAGGAGGATCACTTGAGGTCAAGAGTTCGAGACCAGCCTGACCAAGAGCGAGACCCCGTCTCTACTAAAAATAGAAAAAATTAGCTGAGGGTGGTAGCGTGCAGCTGTACTCCCAGCTACTCGGGAGGCTGAGGCAGGAGGATCGCTTGAGCCCAGGAGTTGGAGGTTGCTGTGAGTTGGGCTGACGCCACGGCACTCTAGCCTGGGCCATATCGAGAGACTCTGTGTCAGAAAAACATACCTGTGGACCAGAGCCATCCAAGGGGGCAGTGTTGACGCCACACGTGGGCCAGGGTTGACGCAGGGGAGCTGTGCTCCTCCCTGGCCACAGACCGCTGGCTCAGAGCAGCCTGTGTCAATTAATTAGAATAATTAGGAGAATACTCCCTTGGCTTATTCGTGTTTCTAACATGCTTTGGCTCAAATTTATTTTTCCCTCCTTGGATCGTAGGAAGCATCTGCAACGCAGCAGAGCCGTTGAGCAGAAAGTTTTCTCATTTAACCTTTTAAGGCTCCTTTGCTGGCCGGGCACGGTGGCTCACGCCTGTAATCCCAGCACTCTGGGAGGCCGAGGCGGGCGGATTGCTTGAGGTCAGGAGTTCGAGACCAGCCTGAGCAAGAATGAGACCCCCGTCTCTACTATAAATAGAAAGAAATTAATTGGCCAACTAATATATATAGAAAAAATTAGCCGGGCGTGGTGGCGCATGCCTGTAGTCCCAGCTACTCAGGAGGCTGAGGCAGGAGGATCGCTTGAGTCCAGGAGTTTGAGGTTGCTGTGAGCTAGGCTGACGCCACGGCACTCACTCTAGCCTGGGCAACAAAGTGCGAATCTGTCTCAAAAAAAAAAAAAAAAAAATCCTTTAAGGCTCCTTTGCAATTAGACACCCCAGACCCAGACAAAAGCATTTCCCTTTTTTTAGGACAGAGTAGAAAGTGAATATTGCAGGTAAATGTGATTTAATTTTAACAGAGCCAGGGGAATTCAATGAAAATATACCTTGGCGGTTTTCATGGTTCATTGTAGTAACATTTCCATTCTCTTCCCTATTAGTTTTCAGGTGAAAATGGAGAGAGAATGAAAGAAAAATACGGGTTGTTTTGCAGTGGCCACAACGAGGCCGTCAGTCAGTACAAGTTGCTGTTGCAGCAAAGCAAGAAATTTCAAAACTTGATCAAGGTAAAAAAAAAAAAATTTTTTTTTTTTTTTAAATTAAAAACTTTCCATCTTTACTGTCAATTTTTTTCCACACAACTATATAGAGTCTTGGGGTTTGGGAATTGTTTCTAAAATTGCCTGTTAGAAAGCAATGATTGGCCAGGCGTGGTGGCTCACGCCTGTCATCCTAGCACTCTGGGAGGCTGAGGCAGATGGATCGCTCAAAGTCAGGAGTTTGAAAGCAGCCTGAGCAAGAGCCAGACCCTGTCTCTACTAAAAATAGAAAAAAATTAATTCGCCAACTAAAAATATATAGAAAAAACGAGCCAGGCATGGTGGCGCATGCCTGTAGTCCCAGCTACTTGGAAGGCTAAGGCAGAAGGATTTCTTGATCCCAGGAGTTTGAGGTTGCTGTGAGCTAGGCTGACACCACGGCACTCTAGCTCAGGCAACAGAGTAAGACTCTGTCTCAAAAAAAAAGGCAATGATTTTTCAAAGTTTTGTATTGTTTTTTAACAATAACCCTATCAGAACCCATCAGTGGAATCCTACGTGGAATCCCAAGATGTAAAACACATCAGGCTGGGCACAGTGGTTCACACCTGTAATCCCAGCACTTTGGGAGGCTGAGGCGGGAGGATCACTTGAGGCCAGGAGTTCAAGACCAGCTGGGCAACATCATAGCAAGACCCAGTCTCTACAAAAAATGTTTAAAATTAGCCAGGCAGGGGGTGGGGGTGCAAGGGCAATATACGTAACCTTAACATTTGTATCCCCATAATATGCTGGGGGAAAAAAATAATAAATAAATAAAAAGAAATCTCCGCCAAAAAAAAAAAAAAATTAGCCAGGCGTGATGGCGCACGCCTGTACTCCCAGCTGCTCATAAGGCTGAGGCAGGAGGATCACCTGAGCCCAGGAGTTGGAGGCTGCAGTGAGCTATGATGACACCACTGCACTCCAGCCGGAGTGACAGAGCAAGACCCTGTCTCTAAATAAACTAATACATACACACATACAAAGCAAAGTGTGTCTCGGGCTTTGTTCCTCGTCACACCAGGTGGCCCCCAAGCTGCCCCTGCAGGCCCCCAGCGAAGGACCTGCCAACTGCCACATCTCAGACTGTGTGACACAGAGATCATTCGAAGGGGCTGCCCTGCCCTGGGAACAGGCCCTCCAGAGCCGCCACGCCCTGCCTGTGGAGGCTCCAGCTGTCATAAGGAGCGTTGCTCCAAACGTTTGTCCCCTCCCTGCCCCGGGTCCCTGCAGAATGGTCCTTGTGCCTCATTTGCCCAAGAGTGGCCCAAAGCGCAGCCGGAGTCCGCTAAGTCATGCAAGACCCACCTCCCGCCTTCTGGAAGCCACACGTGGGTTACGACCACTCGGCCCATCAGCATGGGCCGGAGCGCACCAGATTCCAGAACAGCTCCGTCTCCTGTGGCCCGTTCAGGGCTTTGTTCTGAAGTGACATTCAACACCCAGTGGTCTGAGGTTACGGATGAGGTGCATTTAAATTCCGTTCTGTAATCGCAGTAGACGGAGGTGACAGGGAGACAGTCACTTTGGGGCCGCAGTTCATCCACTGATGAGCAGTGGAGTTGGAGCCGGGGGCCGCGGACACCTGGAAGTGAGTGTGCGGGGGTGGGGAGGCCTCCGAGGGAGCCTTTGTCCACACACGCTCCCCAGTCCCACAGTGACGCTCTGGTCCTCTCAAGAAGTGGCTCTTGGCGATGGCTGATGGCTGGCATCCCTGAAATGCGGGCGGGAGCAGCAGGAGCCACCGCGGAGAATGTGTGGAATGCTCCTGCGCTGGCGGCCCCCACCAGGAAGCGACTTCAGGTTACTGCTGCCCTGGTTCTCAGCCGCTCCCGGGAGCCAGTTGGGGAGGCACGTGCCCAGTCTGGGCCTGGAGGGTCCCGGCAGTCAGGGTCAGGGTCAGGGTCTCGGCGTGCGCGCGCACTTCCTGCCTACAGACAGCTGGCCGGCGACTTCCATCGACTCCCCTACTGGTTCTTGTTTCTCGTTTGTTTTTTCTTTTTTAAAAACAGAGTCTTAACATCACCTGTGTATTGACTGATTGATTGAGCTATTTATTTATTTATGAGCTGGGGCCCTTGCTCTGTTGCCCAGGCTGGTCTCCAGTTCTTGGGCCCAAGCGATCCTCCTGCCTCGGCCTCCCGAGCGGCTGGGACCACAGGCGCGCGCCATGGCACCCGGCTTGTTTCTACTTAACGGGTCTCGAGGGGGCCCTCGCTCACATGCCAGGGGGGCTGCCTTTGCTCTTGTGGCCTTTCCGTATATAGCAGGTGATACCTGCTTCCAGGTGTCTCGTATGCGCGCATGGCCCCGGCGAGCCACAAAAGGAAGGAGGCCCCAGCCTCGGTGCCTGATGGGTAACCGACAGGGCAGGAGCTGGGACGTTCATGTGGCACCGTCTCCCTTTCCATCTCCTAGAAAATCGGCAACTCGGCCGTCGTGAGGCGGCTGGGCGTGCAGGAGTGTCTCCTCCTGGTGACGCAGCGCATAACCAAGTACCCGGTGCTGGTGGAGCGCATCATTCAGAACACGGAAGGTAGGCTCGCTCTCGCCACCTCGCCGCCGCCGTGCTGGGCGGGGCCCCTGTCCGCCCGCCCTGCTGGGCGCTGGGGTTTCCGACTCGGGAAAGACGGGGCGGCCAGCACCGCGAAGGCAGGGGCCGAGTCTCGCTTGCCCGCCGAGTCCCCAGCGCGTAGCACGCACAAGGCTGGGCCATGGCGGGCCTTCCCTGTGGCGTGGATGAATGGATGGAGATGGTGCCCTTGCTAAGGCCACTTCTGGTGATCCAGACAGACGCGGGGGTGACCCAGGCCGAGAGAGGGGTGTGCCTGGAGCTGTGGAGGGCAGAGAAGGGCACACAGCCCGGCTGGGAGTCTCAGGGCCGGGGCAGTGCTGGCCACACCTGCCGCGTCCCCGGTGGGAACGTGGGAGAATAAGCAGGTTCTCCTGCCACGAAAGCCACATCCTCAGAGTGGGAGAGAGGAGCCAGCTCTTGGTCACGACAGGAGGTGGCGGGAGTCTTTTACAAAGGGCAGAGGGACACAGGGGAGTTTGTCTGCCAAGCAATGACCAGCAGAGCCAGACAGGGCAGTTTTGTCGTTTAAATTGCCCCTTAGCCTCTGCATCCGGCAGAAGCTCTACCTGGATGAAAACCATGAACCCTGGGCTGTTGGGTTTATTCTGGACTGTCGACATCTCCGGAGATCGTAGTCGGGAGGCGGTTCTTGGGGGCCCTTCGGGGAACTCGCCTTACAGACCCCACCTGTAGCGTGTCTGTCACGTCATGTCTGGCGCGTTCGGGGACTCGGACAAAGAAGGACACTAACTCTGCTTGTGTGGCAGCCGGCACCGAGGACTACGAAGACCTGACCCAGGCCCTGAACCTCATCAAAGACATCATCTCGCAAGTAGACGCCAAGGTCAGCGAGTGTGAGAAAGGCCAGCGCCTCAGGGAGATCGCGGGGAAGGTGGACCTCAAGTCCTCCAGCAAACTCAAGAACGGGCTCAGCTTCCACAAGGAGGACATGCTTCAGCGGCAGCTCCACCTGGAGGGCATGCTGTGCTGGAAGACCACGTCCGGGCGCCTGAAAGGTAAAGCCCTGCCCCTGGCCACTTCGGGCGGGCGCCATCTTGGATCAGTGGGCACTGCTCGGAGTGGCGGGTGCCATCTGGGATTGGTAGGTGCGATTTTGGCTTGGAGGCACAGTCTTGGGAGAGGGGGCACCGTCTTAGATCAGTGGGTACCGTCTGTGACTGGCGAGTGCCATCTTGGATGGGTGGCACTGTCTTGGGAGTGGTGGCACCATGGCACCATCTTAAATCAGTGGTCACTATCTTTATTTTGAGACCGAGTCTCACTTTGTTGCCCAGGCTAGAGTGAGTGCCGTGGCATCAGCCTAGCTCACAGCAACCTCAAACTCCTGGGCTCAAGCGATCTTCCTGCCTCAGCCTCCCCAGTAGCTGGAACTACAGGCATGCGCCACCATGCCCGGCTAACTTTTTGCATATATTTTTAATTGGTCAATTAATTTCTTTCTAATTTTAGTATAGACAGGGTCTCACTCTTGCTCAGGCTGGTTTCCAACTCGTGACCTCGAGCAATCCGCCCGCCTCGGCCTCCCAGAGTGCTAGGATTACAGGCGTGAGCCACCGCGCCCAGCCAGTGGTCACTGTCTTAGAGCGGTGGGCATCATGGATTGATGGCACCACATTGGATTGATGGCACCATCTTGGATTGGTGGCACTATCTTCAGTTGGTGGCACTGTCTTTAGTGGTGGACACTGTCCTGGATCAGTGGGCACTATCATGGATCGGTGGGCCCTTCTTGGTTTGGCAGGTGCCAGCCGACACAGAGCCACTGCAGCCTGGCATCGGCTACTTCCTGGCCGAAGGGAGGTTATGTGCTAAGTCAGGTTGTGCACAGGCCGCCAGGAGTGTAGCAAAATGAGGTGGTCGTGTCCACATCCTCTTCCTCTGGTCTTAGAAATGGTGCAGTACGAACCGGAGGGCACACTGAATCACTGACTTCTGAACAGAAACCCGAGGCGGTGGCACCATGATGCCCCAGGTTTGGCAAGGCCCTGGGGCTCCACCACGCTCCACTGCAATCCAGATGCAGTTGCGGGCCTGCCTGCTGTGTGCCCAGCCACCAAAGAGCGCCCGTGTGGTAGGAAGTGCCACCGGGACTGCTCAGCAGGGTCCCCCAGCATGCCACTCACTGCCCAGGGTGTGTTCCCATCCCTGCTTTCAAAATCCGCGTTGCAGTTCCAGACCAGCGAGCACTCAGGACTCATCCCCGGGTTTCCTATCTGTTTTCTGAGCCTTTAGAAACACCCCAACCTACCCACTGGCATCAGAATCTTTAAGGATCTTGAGCAGGGTCCTTGAGTTGGCAGGTGACAGAATGTGCTCACCTGTCACCTGTGCTCCATGGGGGATAGAATCCAGCGCCTCCTGCCTGCCAGGCACTGCACTGGGTGGTAGGAAGACGCCGCCCAGGCAAGACCTGTCCCCACCTGGGGCGTCACTCAGCAGACAGAGAGAAGCAAGTAAACAAAGAAAAAAATAGAGCCAGGCACAGTGGCCAATGCACCTGTGGTCCCAGCTACTCAGAAGGCCGAGGCGGGAGCGTGGCTTCAGCCCAGGAGTTTGAGGCCAGCCTGGACAGCATAGTGAGACACCCCTGTCCCTGTCTCTAAACACATAAAAGTAAAAAAATAGAAGTGTAGCAAATGCTTTAAAAGGTAGCCAGCAGGCTGCAGTGCGAATTAGGTGGAGAAAGCGTATCTGATCTAGACAGGGGTCTCAAGCAGCTCCCCCCGTGGAAACTGAGGTCAGGATGCACACCCATTGGGGCCCAAGGAGGCTGAGACCAGCCCTCGCGGGGGGGAAGGGGTGAGACAGAAAGAAACTTCCAGGCTCAGGCAGAAGCACCCGGATGCTGGCACGGTCCCAGGGATCCGGCACCCCCCGGGCTGCCCGGCAAGCCCCCACAGCCACGTGACCTTGGAGACCTCTGTCTCCTCTGCTGTCTCCCCAGACGTCCTCGCCGTCCTGCTGACCGACGTGCTGCTGCTGCTCCAGGAGAAGGACCAGAAGTACGTCTTCGCGTCCGTGGTGCGTATCTCGGGTCTCCTCGGGCCAGGGTCCTGCTCTGAAGCCGCCCACGAAGGCAGCAGCCGACGGGGCCACGCCAGAGGCACACGCAGGAATAGAATGTTCCAGGAATGAGGGGCCCTTCTCATTGCCTGGCAGAGGCTTTGGCTCCCATCCAAACAGCCTCTCTAGCCTCAGTTTCCCTCCGCTTCTTCCTGGTTCTTCCCCTGGCCAGCGCTCACAGGTACTCTCGGGCCCCAGAATCCTGGCCAAGAGCAGGATTCCCTCCCTCCCAGGGGCTCACTGGGCCCGAGCTCAGGCAGCCATGGGCCGTGGCCGTGCCGACCCCAAGGACTCTGGGCCCAGAGCACCCCTGTTGTGGGAGCCAAGCCTGGCCAGGGTGACGCTGGCCCCCCTGCCTGGCCCTGCGTCCGTGGGGCTCGGCTTCCTCCCCTGCAGGTCGTTCAACACCTAACAACACAGAACCCGCTGCAGGGTGAGGGGGCGGCCAGGCCCTCCCCCTCCATGTGCCACCAAAGGGCTTAAGGAACCTGTTCCCTTCCGCGCCACCTGGAGAGGAAGGCAGCCTTCATCACCAAACTGGAGAATCGCACCTCGCCCAAAGACTCAAAATAGTTTCTCGAGGCGTTTCCCAGCACCCCCCCACACACACTGCCACCTCCCCGTTGCTCACAGCCTGTAGCAGCCAGTTAAAGCATGCGTCCTGCTGGTCCGGGGGACCTTCCTTCTCTCGAAGGATGCCCAACAGTCTGGAAATGCTTGTCGCTCTGGGTGGCTTAAGACACAGGGACCAGGAAGAGGATTTATTTGTTGTCATCTGCTCTATCGCGTTGTATCTGTGGAGTTTGGTAGTGTTTACATGCATTACTGATTATTTTTTCTTTAAATATTTTAAGCGTTTTTAGTTGACACATTTAAAAGGATACCAGGACACCTTTGCAATAGTACCTTTTCTTCCCCCCGGGTGGCAAAATATTTCTGCTTCGAATCATTTGAAAGGAAACAGCGCACGTGACTTGCCCTCTCGGCCCCAGACTCACAGTCCCACCGCCGTGGGGACACGGTAGGCTGAAAGGTGACGCCCCTGCCACGTTCTGCCCCTGCAGGACTCGAAGCCCCCCGTCATCTCGTTACAAAAGCTCATCGTGAGGGAGGTGGCCAACGAGGAGAAAGCGATGTTTCTGATCAGCGCCTCCCTGCAAGGCCCCGAGATGTACGAGATCTACACGAGCTCCAAAGAGGACAGGAACGCCTGGATGGCCCACATCCGGAGGGCCGTGGAGAGGTGAGAGGGGCCCGGCAGTTCCCGCCACACACACACACCCACACCCGGTGTGTTTTCTCTGCTGACTTCTCCAGCCTTGACTTTGAGCCGGCTCCAGTCGACTCCAGTCGGCTGTGCACTTGAACTCCCTCATCCCAGCTAAGGACAGAGGACACCATTCCAGCTCCAACCCATCGGACGCTGGAAGGGCCTGGATGTCTCTGGCCGGGGGCTGCAGGGCCACACCCGCTGGGACAGGCTGTGGCGTCTCATTCTTCTTCCTTCTGGGGCCGAGCGCCCTAGGCACCCAGTCGCTTCAGCCCCGTGGGTCCCCAGCGAGCAAGCTGTCCCCCAGAGAGCTCCTCCAAGTCACGGCCAGGAGCTTAAAACTTCTGCCAGGTTATGTCCCGACGCCTTGAGGCCGGATAAACACCAGTGCCTCTCTCTTCCTCTCCCCCCCTCCTCCTGCTGCCCATTAACAAACCAAATCCCTCACAAAGCTAGAGACGGCCTTGGCAGCTGGTTCTGCGGAATCAGCGTCCATGCCAGCGTCCATGCCCGCCCAGGCGGCACTGTCGCCCACCTGCCCCCTCCTCCCGCAGCTGCCCCGACGAGGAGGAAGGGCCCTTCAGCGAGGCCGAGGAGGAAAGGAAGGTGATTGAGGCCCGAGCCGCGAGACTCAGGGACTTCCAAGGTAAGGGGAGCGGGTATTGTGGGCGCAGCCCTCGTGTGGCGAGCCCGCCCCGGTCACCGGGTCCTGGGTCCCCCATGGGGACAGAGGGAGTCTCCGCCCAAGTGGGGCATGGTGTTTTCCTGCAGGCCGTCCCACATCCGCAGCTCTGCAGAGCGTTTGGAACGGGGCTGATTCTTGAGTTAGTGATTAGGCCGAGCGGCCCCTCTGGGGTGTGACTAAGGGAGAGACTGAGCTCAGGGCCCCCAAGCCCCTTCCAGACCCTACTGTCAACCGCACACACTGCTGTTGTCCGGTCCTTAGGAGCTTGACGGGCGTGTCCCAGGTCACATACGGAGGGCCCCCCATGGCCTCCTTCCAGAGCCCAGCAGACCCGCGCCTGCCTGGCTTTGTGAGCAGGACCCCCGACCCCAGCTCCCTCCCGCCTGTGTGTTTAACCACTTTATTGCCCTGTAATTTACATACTGTACCGTGCACCCACTTCAAGCATTTGGTGGCTTTGAGTGTGTTCATAATTATACAACCATCGCCATATCCATCTTAGAACATGCCATCACCCCGAAAAGAAGCCCCGTCCCCATCAGCTAGCACTCCCCAGCCCCTGACAACCAGGATCCACATCCTGCCTCTGTGGATCTGCCTGTTCTGGACATTTCATATAAATGGAGTCTCACACTGTGTGTCCTTCTGCGTCTGGCGTCTCTCACTGAGCACGATGTCCTCAAGGTCCCTCCACGCTGTGGCCTGCGTCAGAGCCTCGTTTCTTTTCATGGCTGAGTGACATTCCAGCGTGTAGATGGACCACGTTGTGTTATTATGGAATGTTTAAACAATAAGGACATACAGTTAGGTAGTATATATTTTATTTGTCTTTGTGGGGAGAGGCAGTTTGGCTTTATGCCAAAAAATCTTTTTTTTTTCTTTTAGTAAGGTTAAGTTGGAGGATATTAATTCATAAAAATGTCCATAAGAAAAGTGGGGCCGGGCGTGGTGGCTCACGCCTGTAATCCTAGCACTCTGGGAGGCCGAGGCGGGCGGATTGCTCGAGGTCAGGAGTTCGAGACCAGCCTGAGCAAGACCCCGTCTCTACCAAAATATAGAAAGAAATTAATTGACTAACTAAAAATAGATATACAAAAAAAATTAGCCGGGCATGGTGGCGCATGCCTGTAGTCCCAGCTACTAGGGAGGCTGAGGCAGGAGGATCGCTGAGCCCAGGAGATTGAGGTTGCTGTGAGCCAGGCTGACGCCACGGCACTCACTCTAGCCTGGGCAACAAAGTGAGACTCTGTCTCAAAAAAAAAAAAAAAAGAAAGAAAAGTGGGAAAAGAATCCCCTTGAGCCTGGGAAGCGTGATCCCAGCATGGTATCCATTCTGTCTGCTTAGTTACACTGGACGGTCACTGAGACACATGCCCTGCACGGATGTGCCACATCCCAACAGGACTCTCAGTGAATTAGAAAGAGAAAGATAATGTCTTTACCAAGATGCTCTTTCTCGTCTCAAACCCTTTTCAAAACCCAAAGGCCAGGTGCGGTGGCTCATGCCTGTAATCCCAGCAGTCTGGGAGGCCGAGGCAGGAGGATTGCTTGAGCCCAGGAGTTCGAGACCAGTCTGAACAAGAGCGACACCCGGTCTCTAAAAAAAAAAGCTAAGGTCATCCTGTTTTAGGGATACTCCTGATAAAATTGGGAGTAGGGTGGGGTCACCCACTCTCAACATTATTATTCTCATCCCGGAGGTCCCAGCCAGGGTATTAAGGAAAGAAATACGAATAAGATATTACCGAGAGGAGGAGACAGACTTATTTTGGCAGATGACATGATTATTTGCCCAGAAAATCCAGTCGAAGCCACCGAAAAGCTGTTGGAACTGGTAAGAGAGGTGAATAATCCAGCTAAAGATGATGCCTGTAAACCCACAGTCACCAGCAAGAAGTACTGAGAAAATCAGTCTTTTTCAAGGTAGCCAAAAAAAAAATAATTTAAAACCCAGAGATCTGTAAGAAGAGTTAAGTGGAGAAAACCTTGCCCCGTAGGCCTGAAGGTGACTTCCGAGATTAGAAAACTCATCTCTAAGGCCCTGAGTTGGTCCCAGACCAGGGTCTGTTGTGATCTTCACCCACACCCCTGCGTGTGTGGCTTTTCTAGTTGGGGGACACTGTCAGAGGACAGGGCCAGGTCAGGGGGTCCCCACCCTCCCGGCCTTACGCTGCTGCCCCCAGGGGCAGAGGGTCCCAGGAAGGCCGGCCAGGCTGGCCACACCGCCCACCCCCAACGCCCGTCGCCCTGCAGAGCGTCTGAGCCTGAAGGACCAGCTGATTGCACAGAGCCTCCTGGAGAAGCAGCAGATCTACCTGGAGATGGCCGAGATGAGCGGACTCGAGGACCCGGCCCGGCCCCGCACCCTCTTCCGGGGAGGGGACCCCGCCGAGACCCTGCATGGGGAGCAGATCCTCAAGTCGGCCATGAGCGAGAGTAAGTCCACCGCCCCCACCCGACCCTGCAGTCCTGCCTGGGTGGGCTCCCTGGGGGACCCCAGGCCAGGCTCACAGCTCGGTGTGGCTGGCAAGCCACCCTGTCCCGGACGGGCTTCTATTTGGGGGACCCAGGAGCAGCACTGACCGCCACTGGCACCTGCTAGAGCCAGAAGGTCCTTAGACACGATCCGGTTCAAGCCCCGCATTGCAGACTCTAGCGCGTTCTCTCCCCCGCGGCAGACACTCGGCACCCAGCTGGGCCACAGCGATCTGGGGATCTAAACTTGACCTTGATGGGTTCCCCGGAAAAACACACGCAGGCACCCAGAGTGGATCCTTTCTTAGGGTTCCCACGGCCCGGCAGCCCTCTGGTGAGCTGGCCCCGGGCCAGGAACCCCACATCCAGTAGGAGGCGGCCTTGGTGCCCCTGCGGCCCATGGAGGGCGTGGTTGGCAAGTGAGCTGCTGTTCCCACAGAGCCCGACACAGCCGCCCGGCCCCGGGCAGGCCCCTCATGCAGGCGGCCAGCACTCAGTCTGCTCTTTCAGCAACAAGCGAGATGGACACAGCCCCTACCTTCCAGAGCTTTCCTGCAGGATAAGAGGGCAGAGACCCGGGGGGGGGGGTTTGCTCCCTCCAGCCCCGTTGACGCCGACATCGTCCTTCCACCTGCCTCTGTGCTGCTGTTCTTGGACCCCTGAGGACACTCTCGTATCCTGAGCCTCAGCCTAGAACGTTCTCGTCTCCACCTCTTTGGGCAGCTGAAGCCTGTTAGTCCCAGAGGGCTTTGTGTGGACAGCCCTTCCCCGCATGGCCACCCTCCCACATGGCTACCCTCCCACATGGCCATCCACAGTACAAGCAGCAGCCACCAAGTGTTCCCTTCCGGGCCGGGCAGGACACATCTGGCTCATACCTTGAGGGAGGGCACAGGCCGCCCCGTAGCCCTGGCCTCACTTAGACAGGACCACGTGCCCAGTTATAAGGGCGTGCACAGCACGACAGGGCTGAAATCTCACGTCAGCCCCTGGTCTCCACGGCCCCTGCTCCCTGACGCCCCGCACGCTCCCGTATGGTGACCTGGCCCCCCGTCTCCTCCTTCCACAGTCGAGGGCATCCATACCCTGCTCTGCAGGCGGCTGGGCAGCGCCAACGGCCAGGCGGAGGACGGCGGCAGCTCTGTGGGCCTGCCCCGGAGGGCCGAGACCTTCGGGGGCTACGACAGCACCAGCAGCCCCAGCAAGAGTAAGCAGTGCCGCCTGGTCCCTCCCTGCCCCTGCCGGCCAGGCAGCACCACGAAGTGGTGTAGCTCCTGGGAATGTGCCGCTGTGGGTGGCCTGACAGCAGCATCGGACCAGCCCACCCCTCTCCCCTGTCCCTCTGTTGCAAACGCCACCGCTGCAGCACAGGGAAGATTTGCTACCCGGGCAGGGTTGGGGCTAGACAAGGAAGGTTCCAGCCCCCGCCACGGGGTCCACAGCATCCTCACACTTCCGCTTGGGGTTCCCAGATGGCAGTTTTAAGAAGAAAGTCGGCAGCAACGAGCCCAGGCCCCGAGACTGGCGAGGCCCCACGAACAGCCTGGACTCGAGGCTCAGTGATGGCGACGCCCCGGGCTGCTCTGAGGAACCCCTGCAGGTGGTACGCGACTTCCTTGGATTACCCGTTCCCCCGGTACAGTACCCAAGCGTCGTGTCCAAGCCCACCCTACCGTGGGTCACGGCAACCTCCCCCAGCACACACACCTCCCAGGCCGTCCGCCCCTCACTTTCCAGGCAGCCTGATTGGCCCAGGTCAGATGACTGGCAGGGCCTGTCTCCCCAGGCGCGGCCCAGCCCTGGGCCCCTTCTGTCCCCCTGGCAAGGGGATGTCTTGTCAACAATGAGCAGGCCCAGGTCTCGTTGGGTGGGTCCACAGCCACTCTGTGATTTGATGCTGTCGTCTTAGGTGGAAGCGCCTGGCTCGGAGTGTGGCCCCCGTCTGCCTGCCATCCTGGAGTCGGAGGTAGGCGCATGGCTGTCCCTCCCCACGGGGCTGGCAGGTGCGGGCGAGCGGCCTGGGCCTAAGAGCCAGCCTCCCCCTCTCTCCTCCTGCAGCTGGTGCAGCGGGTCCAGACACTGTCTCGGCTGCTCCTAAGCCTCCAGGTACGGGGCGGGGCGGGGCCAGCCACAGGTGCCTTTCCTGGTGGCGGGCGTGTGGCGCTCAGGGCGGCCCTGTCCCCCCCCCAGGCGGTCATCGCGCAGCAGGACAGCTACGTGGAGACGCAGCGGGCGGCCATCCAGGAGCGCGAGAAGCAGTTCCGGCTGCAGTCGACGCGCGGGAACCTGCTGCTGGAGCAGGAGCGGCAGCGCAACTTCGAGAAGCAGCGGGAGGAGCTGGCCTGCGCGGAGAAGCTGCAGAGCCAGCTGCGGCAGGAGCGGCAGCGCTGGGAGCGCGAGCGCCAGCGGCAGCGGCAGGAGCTGGAGCGCGCGGGCGCGCTGCTGCAGGAGCGCGAGGACCAGGTGCGGCAGCTGCTCGAGCGGCTGGGCCAGGAGCGCGCCGAGCTGGAGTGCCAGCGCCAGGCCTACCAGCACGACCTGGAGCGGCTGCGCGAGGCCCAGCGCGGCGTGGAGCGCGAGCGCGAGCGCGACCGCGAGCGCCTGGAGCGGCTGGAGCGCCTGGAGCTGCTGCGCCGCCTCAAGAAGCAGAACACGGCGCCGGGCGCGCTGCCGCCCGAGTCCCAGGCCGAGGTGAGCCCGCCCGAGTGGCCGCTCGGCACGTGCGTTTATGTGGCGTGCGCAGGCGCGTGGGTGCAAGAGCGATGGCGGGAGGTGGCACTAACAGCACGGTGCTGCAAAGCAGAACTTTCTATAGAGCTGGTTAAACGCTGACCACATTGTTGCATGAAACACTTGATAAGTGTTGGAAACTTTAAAAAAAAAAAAAAAACCACCATCGAGCGGGTCACGGTGGTTCACGCCTATAATCCCAGCCCTTCGAGAGGCCGAGGAGGGAGGATCACTTGAGCCCAGGAGTTCGAGGCTGCAGTGAGCTGTGATGATGCCACTGCACTCTAGCCCGGGTGACAGAGCAAGACCCATCTCTTAAAAAAAAAATAAAATAGCCAGGCATGGTAGCCCATGCCTGTAACCCTAGCACCCTGGGAGGCCCAGTGGGGACCGAGGGGGAGGCTGGCGGGTCTCCCCGTGCGTCCCTTGAGGGCGCCCAGCAGGAACCGCAGTGTTGAGATGTGTCTGCTGTCCCCTTTTCAGGCCCAGCCCCCAAGCCATCCTCCCAGCTTCAATGGGGATGGGCTGGAGGGGCCCCGGGCCAGTGTGCCGCTGCCCGGCGTGGGGCCTGAGTACGCAGAGCGGCCCGAGGTGGCTCGCCGGGACAGCGCCCCCGCCGAGGGCCGGCCGGCCAAGAGCGACGTGCCCATCCAGTTGCTCAGCGCCACCAACCAGATCCAGAGGCAGGCGGCCGTGCAGCAGCAGATCCCCACCAAGCTGGCCGCCTGCACCAAGGGCGGCAAGGACAAGGGCGGCAAGGACAAGGGCGGCAAGAGCAGGGGCTCCCAGCGCTGGGACAGCTCAGGTGAGCTCCGGGGCCTGCCCAGCACCCGTCGCCCTCGCACGGAGGCCCTCGTGGCTCGCTGGGAGCCAGCAAAAATGGGAGCACAGTGCCATCTTCTGGAGCAGGTGCCTCAGGAGAGCTGAGGGCACGACTGTGGCGTCATGTCCCAGATCTTTGGTCTCCCAGAGCAAAAGGGAAATGACTGACCCCGGGTCCTTTTCCCACCTTGGCCCTCAAACAGCGGGGTGGGCATGGGAGTTCCAGAAAGCATCTCGGCAACAAGTGAGAGGCCTGGCCACTTAGCACCAGGACAGCCAGGGCCCAGGACAGGTGCAGGGGACTCTGCCAGTGTCTTTGCACCATGGATGGGGACGCTGAGACCCAGAGACACTCAGTCCCTTGCCCCCTGGGCACGTTGAGCAAGTGCCTCCCCCGGAGTGGGCCCACACTCCTCGGGTGGGAAGCCTGCCCTGCCCCCTTGGGTGACGCCTTCCTGGGTGGGTGACCGCCACAGATGTCCTGGGATGTTCCCCGAGAAGCAGGACCTGTCTCCTCAAAAGCTGTCCCTCCTCTCATCCGGATGTCACGTTACTCTGGGGCCCCTCCACTGCCAAGGGTGGGGACTGCTGTCCCTGGATTTGGGGCTCAATGTCCGAGCAGGGTCCAGCCAGGCACTGCCTGCGGGGCGTGTCGGGAAGGGGGCAGCCCAGAGGTCCTCTGCCCTCTGAGATGCCGGGGGTGGGCAGCCCGGTGCCTGGGGCGGACCCCAAGACGTCCTTCTCTTTTAGCGTCCTTCGACCTGAAGCAGCAGCTGCTGCTCAACAAGCTCATGGGGAGGGACGAGAGCACCTCTCGGAACCGCCGGTCACTGAGCCCCACCCTGCCCGGCAGCCTCGGCCCTGCACCGCCCCCCGGTGAGTCCCGTGTTCCCCCAGGAGAACCCCACGCCCCTCCGGCTGAGCCCCATGTTCCCCTGGAAGAGCCCTGTGCCCACCTGGCTGCTGACAGCCGTGGCGACCTCTCTGTTCCAGACTCCTGCTCCCCAGCGCCGAGCCCAGCCCAGGTGGACAGCCCCCCTGACTGCCTCCCCCTCAAGGCCGCGGGCACTCCCTTCCCGCCTGTGCCCCCGTCCCCCTCGCCACTGCCGGCCACAGCACTCAGCACCAAGGACGAAGCCCCCAAGGAAGACGTCATCTTCTTCTAAAACACCAGGGATCGAGGTGCCGACCCCTCCCTGCCCTGCCCACTCTCCATGCTCTCTGGGGACCTCCGAGGGGTCACCGAGCCTGCCCAGCTGTCCCCTCCCCTTCCCGAGCAAACCACCGAGGACCGCCTGGCGGGGCCAGCCTGTTGGTGCTTTGGGTCTCGAGGCTCTTTCTGTAGGGTGAGCGCCGGTGCCTGGGTCCCTTTCTAAACCTCTTTTTGTGTTTGTTTTCAAGATGGAAAGTTTTTAATCGAAGGTTGAACCAGAGCTAAACCAGGGAGCTCTTTTAAGTCGCAGCACCCCCTCTGGGTGGCAGGCGACCAGCCCTAAGCCGTGCGTCCGAGGCAGTGAGTGGGGGCGCTGGTTCTGCAGGGCCGGAGGACAGGACAGACCTCGGTCCAGGAAGGAGCTGCTGGCCCCGGCCGCGCCCCTTGGCCGCTAGGAGATGCGGGAGCGAGTAGTTAGGGACACACGCAAGTTCACAGTGAACCTCGGGGCCGGCGAATGAGCTGGGCCCAGGGTGGACACAGCCAGCCCAGGGACAGAGAAGGCCAGGGGACGAGGCCAGCCAAGGGCACGGCTGATGGCGCTCCAGGGGGTTCTGCGGGTGCAGAAGCTTATCCTGTCCTTTTAACCTGGCAGGGGTTTTGAACCCACCGCCCTTCCTCACGCACTTGGCCTGAGAGGCCGAGCCTCGCACTTCAGCCAGGGCCAGCACACGCCCCAGGTGGGGGTCCTCGGCCCCCGGGAAATGAGCTAGCGTTCCCAGGTGAGCGGAGGAAGCCCCAGCGCCAGTGTGCCACCTGCCCGGTGGGTGTTGACACGACGCATCCCAGGCGTGGGGAGGAGACGCCTGGAGCTGCTGCCAGCGAGTGGACCAGTGTCACCTGCGGCCCCTGACTTGCAGCGAGCTGTTGCAGCCGCGTCCACGGCCCTGGAAGAGTGGGGGTGGGGCATTGGGGATGGCGTCTAACGTCCAGCATTGTCCCAAGTGGCACGTGGGCCCCAGCTGGAGCCGAGTCATTCTCCCAAACGCAGCGTCTGGGCCGCGCAGCGAGGGGCCTCTGCCTTCTCCCAGTGCGCGGGCAGAGCCGCCCCATTACGCCTGACGCAGGGGGTGGGGACATTCCCACCACTCGGGGTCAGGCGGGCACAGGACACGGGAAACGACCTCGGGAACTGTTCACCCTGTAGCCGAGGCGCCACTCAGTGCCATGAGCTCGGGAGGGGACGGGACAGGGGCAGGCGATGACCAGGAACGTCTCAGCGGCACGGCCAGTCGGTGACAAGGTACCAAGAGCAGCAGCTTCTAGCATCACCCGGGCACAGCGAGTGACCTGGTGTCCGCAGGCTCCTGGCCCCTGGGAGGACCTCGACCTCCAAGCCTGGTCCTTCTGTGATCAGCAGCTCTCGCCCTGCGACCTAAGCGTCCCCACCCTGTCGGTCTCGTCTGTGCCATGCTGATAATCAGTGTTTTGTATTTTTGTACTGAGAAGTACTGGAGCACTTTAGCAGAGCTGACTTCACATTCCCGTTCTGTCGCGAAGAGGACATTCCCGGGCCCACCTGAGCCGGTGTGCCCTGGTGCCACCCGCCGAGACGCCAGGATTCCTTGGACAAGAAGTTCGAGGAACCTCTGCTTGGCCACGAGGCAGAGGGGTCTCGGTCAGGCCACGCAGCAGGACGGCGTCGCTGGCCCTTCCCCCACTGTACCCCTCGGTCGCTCCTGGGTGGAGCCCAGTGCTACCTGTCAAGTCGGTGGTCGAGCAGAAGTTCCTGCGCGCGTCCCCGTCAGTCGTGTCCACCTGCTAATTGTTTTTACGATGATTACGTTTCCTCACCATGGGATGATTCGGAACCGCCTTAGAACTTAAGACCCGATTCTAGCAATAAAGGTGTCTAAGATGAGCTCCGGCTGATGCGGACGTGCTTTGGCGTTTTAGGATCGGCTCCTGCCGAGACGGTGCAGGAGCGGCGGGTTCTGGGGTTGTGGGGGCTGCCCGAGGGTTCTGCGCCCCGCCAGGACAGGCAGGGTGGAGACCCCCCTCCCCGCCTGCTGCTCCTGACAGCTGCTGTCACCAGTTGCCGCACATGCCGTCCTCCTCCCGTGTGTCCTGCTTAACAGACTCAGAAGATCCTTTCAGCTGGGCACGGTGGTGCGTGCCTGTAGTCCCAGCTACTTGGGAGGCTGAGGCAGGAGGATCGCTTGAACCCAGGAGTTTGAGGTTGCTGTGAGCTGGGCTGATGCCACAGCACTCTAGCTCGGGCAGCAGAGCGAAACTATCTCAAAAAAGAAAATACTTTCAGGTCCAGTCCCTAGCAATTGGCTTTCTTTGCTCCAACCTAAAGAGTATGAGCCGCCGGCCCCAGGGAAGGGCACGGGGTAGGGGTGCAGCCACACAGTTGGGGTAATGAAGTGCTCCCAGACGGAGGCTGCCCACCGGTTATACTTCAAGCTTTCTGGAGTTTCCAGAACCCGGCTTTACCGATTTTTTTTTTAAATCCAAAATGACCAACAAGAGTTTAACTTTTTTTTTTTTTTTTTTTTTTTTTTTTTAAGAGACAAGGTCTCGCTTCATCACCCAGGCTGGAGTGCAGTTGACAGGATCACAGCTCATTGTAGCCTCCAATTCCTGGGCTCAGGTGATCCTCCTGCCTCAGCCTCCCTAGTAGCTGGGACCACAGGCATTCGTGGCACACTGGGCTATTTTTTTATTTTTAGAGCTAGGATCTCACTGTGTTGCCCAGGCTGGTCTCAGACTCCTGGCCTCATGCGATCTTCCCGCCTTGAGTGCAACTTTAGGTTCCTCTCTTTGGCCGGAGAGATTAGCTTAGGTCTGGTTGGCAAATCATAATTTCCGTCTTGGCCCAGCGAGGAGACGTGGGGGGGTTCCTAGCAAGAGGTGACTAGGTACAAAGTCGATCACCAGAGAACTGGGGGTACAGGGGGCAGCTCTCAGCCAGCACTGTGACACAGAGACCACGCAAGCCACATGTGGAATTTTCCATTTTTAGTAGCCACATTTAAAAAGTAAAAAAAAAAAAAAAAGGCCAAATTCATTGATATTCATTTATTTCTTTTTTTTTTTTCCATCGTGGTAAAATGCACACAACATAGAGTGGCCCTGTGTGGGGGCAGAGGAAGGACCCTTTCTTTGGATATCAAGTAAGGTGCTGGCTTGGTCTGGGGGCCGAGACGCCAGCAGGAACCACCTTTACACCCCGGGCCTGCCCACGGCGCCTGCCCAGAGAGGGCCTGTCACAGGCTTGCCCCGGGGCGTCAGAGCTACGCTGTGTCAACACGCATCGGAATAGGCAGGTCTTGGATGCCCTGGGGTAACCCATACCCCAATCGAGATGTGGGACGCTGTCTAACCCCTGCCAGGGTTCCCCTCCTGCCCTTCTCCCCACTCCCGGGGGCAGCTGCTGGCCACTTTCTGGTCACTCTAGCTTGACACTGCTTGCTCTAGAACGTGGTCTCATTCGGTAGGTTGCTCCTGTGCCTGGTGGTGTTCACTCAGCAGTGTTTTGTTTGTTTGTTTTTGAGACAGTCTCACTCTGTTGCCCGGGCTAGAGTACCATGGCATCAGCCTATCCCACAGCAACTTCAAATTACTGGGCTCAAGTGATCCTCCTGCCTCAGCCTCCCGAGTAGCTGGGACTACAGGCATGTGCCACCATGCCCGGCTAATTTTTTCTATATATTTTTAGTTGTCTGACTAATTTCTATTTTTAGTAGAGACGGGGGTCTCACTCTTGCTCAGGCTGGTCTCGAACTCCTGACCTCAAATGATCCTCCCACCTCGGCCTCCCAGAGTGCTAGGATTACAGGCGTGAGCCACCGCGCCCGGCCCACAGTGTCATTTTGATTCTTCCGTGTGGGAGATGTGTGGACGGGCTGCAGCTTGCTTATGCTTTCTTCTGACATTGGAGTGTCCCCTCCCTCTCTCTCATTGTCATCCCCCCCAACCCCCGGCTCTCTAACCTGACGGGATGCAGACAGTGGTGTCCAAGCTGTGTTGGGGTCAGAGGCTCTATGAGTAGCAGAGGGAAGCAGGGACCCTGGTCACAGGGTGGGGGGCACACACCTGCCCTCACACGTTCCGGTGCCCGCTCGATCTGTACCCCTGGGTTAAGTGCCAGCCACAGGAGACGTTAGGATGCAGGGGCTGTGAGGGCACGGATCCATCCAGAAAGGGAGCCCAGGCCTGCAGGGACACCAGTTTGTCATGGGCCTGGGCTGCCCCTATCCCTGGTCTGGACCCTACCCCCAGCCCAGCTGTCCCCCAGGATGTCCCCAGTCTTCCCAGCACACCCCTAGGGGCCCTGGGGGAACCCTGAAATGGGACGTTCTGCAAAGAGGGCCCATGGTCCCTAAGGAGTCACAAAGGGTTCTGGTCGCAGGCCCTGCAAGGCTGAGAACCACTGAGACAACAGGCAAAGCCACAGGGACAGAAAGATGAGTGGTCACCAAGCCTGGGGGCACGGGGCCTGGGAGGTAGCAGCTAATGGTTGCAGTTTCTTTCTGGGGGCGGGGGTTGCTGAAAACGTTCTAAAATTGAGTGTGATTGTTGCGTGAGTCTGCGAACATACAAAAAAACCACTGAACTGGGGGACCTAAATGGGTACGTTGTATGGCACGTGAGTATTTCAGTAAGACATTTAGAACCAGGGGTGCTGGGAGTCGGGCCTCCCCTTCTAGAAGCATCTTTCCCACCTGCTATGTGCCATGGTCAGTGTCCGAGGCCTTCCCAGCCCAGGCCCCACCCCTGAACTTGGCTTTCCTCTTTCCCCTGGCCCTGCGCCCAGGTGTTCCTGCGGCTTCCCCACCAGGGGGCGCTGCTCTCAGGGCCTCCCCGCAGGAGCCGGCGGCGTCCCCAGGACTCCTGGTTGCTGGGAACAAGACGCCCACCTGGGGCCAGGGCGGGCGTGCACCCACGTCCCACGGGAGAGGAGGGCGGCAGGAGCCGCCAGACGGCCAGGGGGGTCCCTCCTGCACCCGGGTCGCCAGAGCAGCCCCAGTCCCCACGCTGCTCCCGCGCCCCACGTCTTCCTTGTGAAACAACTCGGCTGGTGTCACGTGCGCCGCGAGGACACGCAAGCAGCCCACTGCACAGGCAGGGCCCCTCAGACGCCATTCTCAGCCCCACCCCACCACGCTCTGGGCTTGGAGCCGCGACAGGCTCACGGTGGCCTGGCAGGGGGTGGCACCTCCGTGTGTCCGGGCCTCTGGGGAGTGGAGAGCAGCCCCTGATGGCTGCGGGCTGCTGGGGGCAGCGGGCGGCGCTTGCTCGGAGGCGGAGAGCTGGACAGCGGCCTGGGAAATGTGGTTCCCGACGGCGGCTCGGTCCCCAGGTGCGAGGGAGGGCCCGCAGCCACCAGGGCAATAATCTGTCACACCCGAGCCCGGCCCAGCACCGCGCTATTTAATCAATTCTCGTTTCAGCTTTCCCGTGGCACGACGCTTGTGCGGTCGCTCCTGTTGGCCTCTGTCCGGGCACGAGACGAAGCCGCAGGATGGCAGGACGGCAGGCGCTGCGGAGGCCCCGGCGGCCACAGCAGGGCTGCTGCTCTCAGGAGACCGGGGTCCTCCCCGGTGGCACAGAGAGACGCACCCCCCAGTGGGCCCACACCAGGCCCTGGGGGGGCTCACAAGGGCCCCTGCCCTGGTGACCCTTGCTCTGCGGGAAGCGGCCCTCCGTCGGGGTCAGGGGGTGGGGGCGTCGGCCTGGGCCGCCTGGTACGCGCTGAGCAGCGAGGAGACGGTGCCCAGGAGGCCCACCAGCCACGGCGGGAAGCGGCCGGCCCACAGGACGCCCCGCGGCAGCCAGTGCACGGCGTTGGCCAGGTCGGCCAGGTTGCTGAGCAGCGTCAGCGCCTCCAGCTGCATCTGCGTCGCCACGGCCCTCCGCTTGCTCCGCGGCAGCCGGCTGCGGGGACAGAGCGCCGCTCACGCCCGCCTCCAGGCCCTCCCCAAGCCCGCCCTCCGCTTGCTCCGAGGCAGCCGGCTGCGAGGACAGAGCGGCGCTCACGCCCGCCTCCAGGCCCTCCCCAAGCCCGCAGGGAAGTGAGCAGCTCCCGCAGGGGTGCACCGCCCTGAGGGCACCCAGAGCACCGACAGGACCCCGAGCGAGTGGGGTCCAAAGCTTGGAGTCCCAGCCGCAGTCCTCCCCACCCCGGAGACGGGCGGGGGCGGGGCGGGGCTGCTTGGGGGGCAGGTTCCAGACCCGGCTCTACCCACATCCTTTCCCAGGATGACAGAGTGACAGTGGCCTCTGTCCTTGGGAAACTGACCACCCTCCCTGCAAGGGGTGTGACCGTAAGGCCCAGCCCTGGAGTCCCCACTTGAGCAAGCCTCAGTTTCCCCATCTGAACAGGCACTGCCACCCACCGGGGCCTGTGCAGGGCCGGGCTGAGCATGGGGGACCCAGTACCCCTCCCCTGCTGCGGGGTGCCCGCGGGTGCCGTACCTGGTGAAGGCCACCGCGGGGCTCCGCAGCGTCTGCCGCAGCCTCAGCATCACCCGCAGGGACCTGCGACGCCAGAGGCCGTGGGAAGATGCCCGCCCAGAGCAAGCGTGCCAGCTCCGGGACGGGTGTCCTGCCCCTCCCCCGCCCCACGGTCCCAGCGCCACCTCGGGAGCTTCCAGGGACTCATCCCTAACACGGCCCGTCCTGCCTGGCCGTCCGTGCCAGACTCAGGAGCGACCTGCATCCCTAACGGGGCCGCCAGGCCCAGGCCAAGCACCCAAAGGGACATCGAGCCACGTGAGGTGTTCACAGCCAGGCGGGAGGATCCCTCTCTATGGACAAGGTCACCAGGGCTGGCCTGCAGGTGGCTGGCACTGGGGACGCTGCCTCCCTTTGTGCCTCGCTGTCTCACCTGGTATGTACGGAAAAGGACCACTCCAGCGCCACACCTGTGCCCCCCCCACCCCCCGCACACACCCCAGACGGCCCTCAGGGCCCCAGGGCTGAGGAAAAGGCTCCCTGGGGACTCTGGGGCCACTCCACCAAGAGCCCGCACCCTGCCGTCTGGGCAGTGAGGCAGGAAGGGGCGTGAATGTGCCAGGCTTCCTAACAAGGAGGTCCGGTGCCTGGGCACACCTCCTCTGGCCACCATGCACCTTTCCACGTCCCAAGGGGACGGGACACAGGGCAGCACCTGTGATACGGTACACAGGGGCCCCCTGGGGGACTAGGGCAAAATCCCGATTCCTGGGCTCTCCGGATTTGCTGAGTCAGAAGCTCTGGGCGCCAGGCTCAGGAATCTCCGGTTTAACAGCCTCCTAGGTGACAGCCCAGGGCGCTCAGCACACACCAAACACGCCCCTGCCTGCGCTGCACATGCCTGCTCAGCCAGAGAAACGAGGGACAAACCGCGCACTCTCAACGTGAACGGAACAGCCACCGAGCGCGGAGGATGCTTGGGGCAGCGGACCTGCTCCGTGCGGTCCTACAATGTTTGTGCATTTGTCCAAACCTCCGAATGTTTGCCACCAAGAGTGGCCCCTCATGCAAACTGTGGGCCTGGGTGAGGATGGCTCGTCCACGGGGGTGCCTCGATGGTATCCAGTGCCCTGCCCTGTGGGGCGCTGACGGTGGGGAGGCAGTGTGCGTGGGGACAAGGGGTGGGGACTCTCTGTACTTTCTGTTCGAGTTTGCTGCAAACCAAAACTGCTTTTAAAAAAAAAAAGTCTATTAAAAAAAAAGAAGAGAAAGAATAGAACTCAGGCTGCCCCTAAAACTGGAACAGAGAGTCTCTTGGGCCAGAGGTCACGGTATACCCGGAGGAAGAGCAGCTGTGACACAGCTGAGCCCCTGGAGTCCCCAGCCCAGGCAGCCACTCCAGAGGCCCCCAGCACCACAGACAGACACGGCGCCCTCGGTGGGCCCTCAGAGATCAAGCGGGAGCCAAAGCCAGGAAACACGATCAGAGACAGTCATGGCGACACAGTGGCACAGTGTGACCTCACAGCCTGGAAAAGAATCCCCGAAGTCTAAACAGTGCGGGCCTCCGGGTTGGATGGTGGGTGAATCGAACCTTCCACTCTGAGGTTCGTCCATTTCCCAAATTGTCACGATAAGCACATAATTAGGACGTCTGTGTTGGGGGGAAACGAGAACTTCTGGAAGCCAGGGCCTCACCCAGGGACAAGTCACAACAGACTGGGGACACTGCCCCCAGGACAAGTGACGTGCAGCCCCCCTGAGGTTGGGGGCGGCCACGCCTCACTCCACGAACCTGGGAGGCCTTTGTGGCCGCTGAAACATGGGAACTGGGGGCCCTGCCCCTCCTAGAGCTTTCTGGGGCAGGGGGGATTCTGACTCAGCACATTTGCAAATAGGGAAATGTTTGGGAGGAAACCATACGGTTTTCGGAAACCCAGACCAGTCAGGAAACTGCTGGCTGTGTTCTTTGGGGTGTCACCTGACAGCAATGCCAGCAGGACTCAGGGACCTGGGTAAAGGCAGCCACGGAGGCTGCTTCACCCCAGGACCTGGAGTTTCTTTCCGGGTCTGCTCAGCAGAAGTGCGGCTCCCCCCAGAGACGCCCACCCCCTAATCCCTGGAACCTGGGACTCTGTTCCCTGGAACCTGGGACTCTGTTCCCTCACTTGGCAAAAGGGACTTTGCAGATGGGATGAAGTTAAGGATCTTGGGATGGGGCATCACTCGGGCCCAGTGTCATCCCAGGGTCCTTACAGGAGGCAGACAAGCAGGCGGGGCAGAGTTAGAAGGCAACGTGGCCATGGAAGCAAGTTGGAGTGATGCACTTGGAAGACAGAGGAAGAGGCCACGAGCCAAGGAACACGGGCGGCCTCTAGAAGCCAGAAAAGCGAAGGAAACAGATTCTCCCGGGAGGAACCGGCCCCGCCCACACCTCGATGTTGGCGCAGCGAGGCCCGCTGCAGACTCCCAACCTTCAGAATGGCAAGAAGGTAAAACCGTGTTGACTAAAGCGACCGAGTTCAGGGTTGTTACGGCAGTTACTGGAAACAAATGCAACGAAAGGAAGAAAACTCCAAGAGGCAAAGACCCGTATGCTTCACGCCTAAAGCAATCCGCTGCAGTCCTGCTCAAGAGACCCCACCCAGGGACCGCAGGTGCTCCCTTCTGGCCTTTGACGCCGCTTACCTGGCCACCCCCAGGAGCAGGGAGAGGGCCCAGAAGGTTGTGCTCAGCGTCCACCACCGGAAGGAGTCCACGTGGAGGATGTTGGCGTCGGCGGCCCAGGCCACGTGCTCGCAGGGGTAGTAGAGTTGGTCGGCCAGGTTGCCCAGCACGGACGTCCAGCGCACAAAGGCGTCCTCCTCCTGCGGGGCCAGGGGGGAGGTGGGCCTCGGGTCTGTCCTGTCCAGGGCCCCGTTTTAGGACCGTGGCCAGGCCAGGCAGCTTTCCCCCCACAGGAGAAAGGCTCCGGGCACTGGGAAGTTTTTGTGAAGTTCCCAAGGGATTCCCATGTGAGCCCACAAGGGGTCTGGGTCCTGCACCGTGCCCACACCCTCCGCCCCAAGCTCTGAACTATCGCCTGCACCTGGCAAAACAGGATCCGCAGGAGCTCCGCACCGAGGCCTGGTTCCTCGGACTGCACCCTCGGCCCCTCGGAACCCCGCACCAGCAGTGATCCTGCCTCCCTCTGGGTTCTGAACCCCTCTCCAGCTCCCCCAATCCACCTGGGACCCTCTGGTGCGTTCTGGCACATTGTCCCCCTCCCTGAGGATGCCCTGTCCCCACCCCAATGCGGCCAGCTCTGAGCTAGACTCTGGGAGGAGGAGAGGCTCACCGGGGCATGGAGAGACAGGGACACGTAAACACACCCAACAAAAGGGGCTTTTGTTCTGGCTGCAGAGGGCCCCCCCAATGCCTTGCCTGGGGGCTGTCCCGCAGAGGGTGGGAGGGAGGGGTCTCAGGGATACATCAGAGGGTGCCCTGATCAGAGAAAGAGGAGGAGGAGGAAATGGGTGTCAAAGGGGGAGACAGGTCCAGAGAGACACTCCTGATTTGGGGTGATCAGGCACATGGGCTGCAGGGGAGAGCATCTGAGCATCAGGTAGCTCAGAGGGGAGACCCTGGGAGGGCAGCCCAGACAGCCACAGGAGTCGTGCAGTCTCTGAGACGTTTCCCCTGGGGGGCAAGATGGCCCCAGTAAGGATCGCTGCTCTAGGTCAGCTGACACTCACTCGGCTCCTGCCTGCAGTAGTGTCTTAATAGCAAAATCTTAATAATTGTCTCCATGTCCATCAGCAGGGGACTGGTTCAATAAATCTAAGTCCAGGCCCGACAGAGTGGCTCACGCCTGTAATCCTAGCACTCTGGGAGGCTGAGAGGGGAGGATCGCTCAAGGTCAGGAGTTTGAGACCAGCCTGAGCAAGAGCGAGACCCCGTCTCTACTAAAAATAGAAAGAAATTAATTGGCCAACAAAATATATAGAAAAAATTAGCCGGGCATGGTGGCGCATGCCTGTAGTCCCAGCTACTCAGGAGGCTGAAGCAGGAGGATTGCTTAAGCCCAAGAGTTTGAGATTGCTGTGAGCTAGGCTGATGCCCCAGCACTCTAGCCAGGGCAACAGAGTGAGACTCTGTCTCAAAAATAAATAAAGAAATAAAAATTAAAAAATAGGGTGGCTCACGCCTGTAATCCTAGCACTCTGGGAGGCCGAGGCGGGCGGATTGCTCGAGGTCAGGAGTTCGAAACCAGCCTGAGCAAGAGCGAGACCCCGTCTCTACTATCAATAGAAATAAATTAATTGGCCAACTAATATATATAGAAAAAATGAGCTGGGCATGGTGGCACATGCCTGTAGTCCCAGCTACTCGGGAGGCTGAGGCAGGAGGATCGCCTGACCCCAGGAGTTTGAGGTTGCTGTGAGCTAGGCTGACACCATGGCACTCACTCTAGCCTGGGCAACAGAGTGAGACTCTGTCTCAAATAAATAAATAAATAAATCTCACTCCATCCGTATAAGAGAGTGCTCTGTGGCCATACAGCATGAAAGAGCTCTTCTTGCGCTAATTAGAAATGATCTCCAAGTTGGGCTGTTAAGTGAAGAAATGCACTACGTATGTAAACAATTTGTATGTGCCAGGAAATCTCACGAAGGAGACACAGGAAGCTGACCGCAGTGCCTGCCTCTGAGGGGGGAAATTCAGATGCCTGGAGACTCAGGAAGGAGGGGGATTTTTTTAATTACATACTCCTTTGGAATGTGTGAACGTGTTAGCTATTTTTAAAAGTTTTAAAGCAAAAGGAGAACATCTGATCGTCTCAAAAAAGAAAGTAAAATTAAAAAAATAATCAACTGCCTACACAGGGAGCTCTTTGGGACAAGTCTATACAATGCCAGCTGAGGCCACAGCCTCAGGCTTCCTGAGGCCTGTACCCCTGCTCCCTACAGCCCCACGAACGCCATTACCTCTGCCCCCAGGCCGTACTGCTTAGTGTAGACGAACATGGCCAGGTCATCAAAGAGTCGTAGGACAGTCCTGCAGTGGCTGAGCTGGGTGGACACGGCCAGCAGGCGTGTCCCCAATTCGGAACTGGCAGGACATTGTTCGACCAGGACCCCACCGACCAGCTGGCAGCAGTACCCCAGAGTTCGGATCTGCAGGAAACCAGAAGCCATCAGCATGGCGCCACTCCGGGACCGAGCGAGATCTCCCCCGATCTGGCGTGGGCCCCCCTGCATTGAGCGTGAGGAAGACTCTAAATCTATAAACTTCCAGTAAACGCTGAACGATCAAAAACATACTTGTAGATGGGACAAATGGAGAAATGTGACATCATTGTCCAAAGGCACTGTGGAGAGTGCTGGCTCATGTCACTGGGCCTTTGGGGACAGATGTTTCAGAGACAAAGAAAACAAAACTCCTTATTTCCTGCCTCTTGGGTCCTTTTCTCATCACATAGAAGGACAAGGCTGAAAGGTATAGTTGTGTCTTCCTCCTGGACCAAAAGCCCCTCACTAGGCTGAAGGTTGATCGGGCTTCAACCCAGCGGACAAAACAATAATTTACTTGAATGACTTTAGAGAAAAGAAACCCAGTCAGGAGGTGATTGGGAACTTGGTGACCTAGGTCAGCGTCACCACCCTTTTATCATGAATTATTTCATCTGCTTTTCAGAAACTGCTTGTTTTTCTTTTATATGTTATTTTCGCTTGCAATTCCTTTTCAACCCCATTGCAATGGCAAAACACTGCAATTTAAATGTCTCAACTTGGGGGAGATTTGTTAAAACCTGAATGCTCCATCCTAAGGGATTTGGTTGGAACCTAAACGCCTAGCCATCGCTACACCCCCTGGTACAACGTAAATGTCTACTTATAAGAGACTGGCCAGGACAAGCTAAGAGTCCAAACTGAGGGGCCCAGAGGGAGTAACATAAATGCTCAACCAGTGGGGATTTGGTTGGAACCCAAACTGTCCAGCCACAGGAGGAGTCTTGCAATATCCTAAATCCCCATACGAGATTGTTTGGGACAGCCCAGTGTCCAACTACAATGGCCTGGTCAGGTCCTAAATGTCCACACATGGGAATCTGGTTGGTACGTAAATATCCAGCCAGGTTGGACAGTTACAGGATGAGTCTAAATGACCAACTGAAAGGGGCAGCCTTGGAAAAATAACAGGAAAATACCTAATCCCACAATTTCCCCAGTAACAGTGAAAGATCAATCCTATGAGTTTTCTCATTAACAGGCGCTCTGCAGGAGTTCTGTTTTCCACAGCTTCTGAAAAGAGCTGAATGTATGGACAAGCGAAGTCAATCTCTCTCTCAAAATTGTTCTGTTTTTTGGTTTTTGTTTGTTTTTTGAGAATCTGCTTTTTACAGTCTAAAGAGTTCCTCAATCCTGTCTGGAGGACAGAGTCACAGCTCCTGTGATAATTAATCCCTTCTTCAAGGAAAGGCAGGAGAGCCAACTCTTGGACTTTGACATCTACCTGCTGTTTTGTCATCTACCTGCTGCCAAGAAGAAAGGAAGGGCCGGATGCAGCAACTTCTCGACTGTACCCTGCCATTTTACAACCACCTTTTCAAAAGTCCCAGTAGCTGGTTTTCGGAGCCAGCACATTCTTTCTCTTTCCATCTCCATGCTGGTCGTTTCCCCTCCCCACTCCAAGGGAAAAGTAAATAAACCTTTTCTTGCTATCCTAATCTTTGGAGAAATCTTTCTCAAAACCCGCGTGCTCCAGCATCGGCACCGCCACCAACTACACCGCCACCAGGGGATGTGGCTGGATCCATGGGGCCTGGACACAGGGAGTTCCTGGTGCCAGATTAGCTGGCGCAACCTAAATGCCCAGCTATAGGGGATGTGGTCAGAACCTCAATGTCCGGCCACAGGGAGAGCCCTGCAACATCCCAAATGCCCATATGAGATTGTTCGGGACACCGCAGGGGCTGACTTCAGTGGCCTGGGCAGATCAGGCAGGTAAGTGTCCCGCCAGGTGGGCAGGAACAACCTGAATGTCCACGGCTGGGGGACCATGTTTGAGCCCAGCTCAGACAGCGCCCCTGCACTGGGCAAACCCTGAGCGATCCCGCCCCCTCTCTGGCCTCAGTTTCCCCGTCTCTGAGCTCCGGCCAAACTCCAGGAACTCGGGCTCCGCTCCGCCCCAGCCTCACCAGGCGGTCGCGACCCCTGTACGACTCCAGCGCCGACGCCAGGCCGCTCAGCGACGCCATGGCAACTCCGCCGTGACGTCAGCGCGCCGCGCCAGGGGGCGGGGTAAGGCCTCGCTCGGTGTGCGCAGGCGCGGCCGCGGCCCTTTGTCCCGGGCTTGGCTTTTGTCCGCTGCGGGGAGCAACCGCGTTTGCAAATGTGGGGTCGCCACGTGTGTGCTCCCTGGGCCTGTGGACCCAGGCTGATCATCCTCGGAGCTTGCTGCGTTCTGTCCCGCGGCGGCGTGACCATCTACCCACCAAAAAAAGAGAAAAATTCAAAATTAACCAACTACCCCACCCCAGACCCCTACAAAATAATCCAAGCAGAACCACCAACCTGTTAGCAGCAGTAGTTCAAGGAGAAATTTTTTGTAGTTTTCCTGTTTGCGTTGTCTGCTTTGTATGGAGATTACAAAGGAAAAATTTTGTTAAATTTTGTAGTGAATGTTTTGTAAATAAAGGTACATTTAGCTACAGTTTCCCATTTTCCCTATGTATGGCGACTTTTGGGACACCCTGTAGAGTGAACATGTATGACTATTGTAACAGCATAATAAGGCATCTTTGGTCGTTAAGAAAATGCATGGAATCGTTCTAGAAGAATAAACATCTGGTAACCCGAGCTGCTCTGGAGAGAGTAACCCGGGTGACTTGGAGGAAATATTAAGTTTTAACCTTTATATCATTTTGTAGCTTTTGAATTTGGGGCAATAGGCATGTATTATCTCGTCCCCCAAAATCAAAATTATTCAAAAAGTTAACACCCATTTCCTGGTTTTGTTTTTTTCTTGAGATGAAATTAGCATAACATGAAATTCACCATTTTAAAATGCACAGTTCCGTGGTATTTAGTAGTACATTTTACCTGTGGTACAAACATCACCCCTCGCTAGCTTGGAAGTATTTTCATCACCCCCAAAGGAGACCCTTGGAGGAGACCAGAATATGCCACCCCAAAATATGCCACCTTGGCATAAGGATTATTTTGAGTTGAGGGCAATTGAGAAGCTGATACAGGATATGGATTTGCCTAAAAGCAGGCCACAAATATACAAAGGTGCCTTCCTTCCCTCTCTACCAGGAAGGACAAAGGTTGGTCACTAGAGATACCTTTACACTCTTGTCGGGCAACGTCTTTAGATGGCACCAAAGGAACCTATGTAACAAGCTTTACAAACTACCCTTTACCTACCATTTATCTGCCTTCCCCCAATTTGCTGTCCTTAGAGACTCAAAGTCCTTTCCTTTTGTCCTGTCACATCTCCAAAAATGTACCGTTCTGTGCCGAATTTGCCGTGTGAGCCAGAGTTCCAAACTTAACACTTCTTTGAGAATGACTCGTTTCTCAGGGTATTGCCTATGTATACATGAAGTATACATGTTAATAAATTTCTTTGGTTTTTTTTCTTGATAAGTCTTTGCTTACAGGGCTATGTCTCACCTAAGAACGAAAGGTAGAGGGAAAATTATTTTTCCTTCCTTATACCCTGTTCCCAGTAAGCAGTCACCTGCTTCCTCAATCCTCCAGCCCCTGGCAACCACTGTTCTGCTCTCTCTGTCTGTCTCTGTGTTTACCTATTCTTTTTTTTTTTTTTTTTTGAGACAGAGTCTCGCTCTGTTGCCCAGGCTAGAGTGAGTGCCGTGGCATCAGCCTAGCTCACGGCAACCTCAAACTCCTGGGGTCAAGCAATCCTCCTGCCTCAGCCTCCCGAATAGCTGGGACTACAGGCATGCGCCACCATGCCCAGCTAATTTTTTCTATATATTATTTGGCCAATTAATTTCTTTCTATTTATAGTAGAGATGGGGTCTCGCTCTTGCTCAGAGTGGTTTCGAACTCCTGACCTTGAGCAATCCACCCACCTTGGCCTCCCAGAGTGCTGGGATTACAGGCGTGAGCCACCATGCCTGGCCTATTTCTTTCTATTTTTAGTAGAGAGAGGGTCTCACTCTTGCTCAGGCTGGTTTTGAACTCCTGACCTTGAGCGATCCTCCCACCTCGGCCTCCCAGAGTGCTAGGATTACATGCATGAGCCACCGCACAAGGCCTATGTTTACCTATACTTGATAGTTCATATAAATGGAATCTATACGACCATTATGCCTGCCTTCTTTTACTGAGCATAATGTTTTTGAGTTTCATTCGAGTTGCTGCTCAAATAGTCTGTTGTAGGGATAAACACGGTGTTTATTCATTCATCAGCTGTTGGACATTTGACCTGTTTCCACCTTTTGGCGATTGTAATTGCTGCTATGCAAATCCATGCACAGGTACTTGACTTTCTGCTTTGGATTCCTTTGGGTGTGTACCTAGGCGTGGAATTGCTGGGATCACATGGTAACTTAATGTTTAACTTTTTGAGAAACCGTCAAACCATTTTCCACAGCGGCTGCTCCGTTTCCATTCACACCTCTCCCAAATATCCAAAGTCTCCAGAATATCCCCTGAATCTGTCCACTTCTTCCCACCCTGCAGCTGCCTCCTAGGGCAGCCCCATTCTCTCCCCGAGCCCCTGAGCCCCTGCCTCCTCCAGGTGCCTTCCCCACAGTATCCCAAGAGACTTTTTTTTTTTTGAGACTCAGTCTCACTCTGTCACCTGGGCTGAAGTTCAGTGGCATGATCATAGCTCATTGCAACCTTGAATTCCTGGGCTCAAGCAATCTTCCTGTCTTGGCCTCCTGAGTAGCTGGGTTGGCAGGTGCAGGCCACCACACCTGGCTAATTTTTCTATTTTTTGCAGAGACGGGGTCTCGCTATGCTCCAAGAGACTCTTTAACTCCCACATCCAACCAACACCCGTCCCTGGTTAGACTTAAGTCCAGGGGTTCATGTGCACCCTCCCCTCCCCCAAATGGGGTCGCAGCAGCAGAAAAGAAAATCCAGGCTAAGTTGGACGTGGTGGCATGCACTTGTTAATCCCAGCTACTCAGAGGCTGAGGCGGGAGGATCGCTTGCGCCCAGCAATTGGAGACTGCAGGGAGCTGTGATCGTGCCACTGCACTCCAGTCACTCCAGCCTGGACGACAGAGCGAGACCCCCATCTCTAAAGAATAAAAAATTAAAAAATTTAAAAATCAAGCCAAGGATCCAGGCTGCAGAGGGAAGGGGGCTTCTGGCTGCAGAGCCTGCAGGTGCATGAGTCATCGATATCTTCTCCCAAGCCTGTGCCACCCCCAGCGCCCTTGTAACAGCACAAGGCATTTTTCTGAGCACGTTTTCCAGGCCCCAGAAACAGAGCAGTGAGCTCTGCAGGCACCGCCCAGCCTCCCCAGCGTCTGGTTAGGGCTGAACTTGACCTTTGAGACAAGAGACAGGAGCTGCCCTTGGTGTTGCTAAGAGCTAGCCTGGCAGTCACAGCTGTGCCCTGGTGTCTTCCTGCTGCACATAAACAATTTCACAGAATGCCAACATGAGACAAGGCCACTCTGTGACCGTGGTGCCACGAGACAAAACAAGCTCAAAACAAGCTCACTTGGTAATCACGTCTGAACATGGGCAAAACGGGAACGCTGTCCACACCTCGAGTGCAACTAGACCTCCTCTTTCCCTGGCTAATACAAAAAGTAGCTATTCCTTCCCGATCACAGCTTTAATCTTTCTTCCTGCCTGCTGACTTCATAAAAGAGATTAAGATGCTAAATAATAGAATCACCTCTCTCTCTCTCTCTCTCTGTCTCTCTCTTTCTGTCTTCCTATTAGCATCTGGGATCTGGCTCCTGGGTCCTTCTTTCTCTAGCAGGCAGGAGGATGAGGCTGAAATGTATGTTTGCATCTCAAAGCCCTCACATGGGCTGGTGGCTGGGTAGCAGGTGATCTGGTCTCACCTCCGTGGACTGAACAATAATTTGCTTGAAGTTAGTGAGAAGGAACGGACGCAATCAGTGATTTGGGACACCCCAAACTAGGTCACCTTCATCACCCTTATTTTTATTAGTATTATTATTACTTTTTTTTTTTTAGCAAGACCCAAGACTTCAGAAAACCACCCTTATATCTTTAATTAGTTCATATATTTTAGAAAATGCTTTTCATTTTTTTAAAAAAAAAAGTTTTATTGTGGTAGAATATGCGTAACAGAAAATGGACCATCTTAACCATTTTTAAATGCACAGTTCAGTGGCATTAAGCATATTCACACTGTTGTGCAGCCATCAGCACACCCCCCCACCTCCAGAACCTTCTCATCTTCCCAAACTGAAACTCTGTCTCCATTAAATAACAACTCCCTCTTCCCACCTTTCCTGGGTTTTTGTTTATGTGTTTGTTTTTTGAAGAAAGGGTCTTGCTTTGTTGCCCCGTCTAGAGTGTAGTGGTGTGATATATAGCTCACCGCAGCCTCAAACTCCTGGGCTCAAGTGATCCCCCCGCTTCAGCCTCCTAAGTAGTGGGGACTACAGGGGTGTGCATGACACCCAGCTGATTTTTCTATTTTTAGTAGAGACTGGGTCTTGAACTTCTGAGCTCAAGGAATCCTCCTACCTCGGCCTCCCAGAGTGCTGGAATTACAGGTGTGAGCCACCGTGCTCAGCCCCCTTTTTTTCTTTCTTTCTTTTTTTTTTTTTTTTGAGACATGCTATATCACGCAGACCTCAGTCATCTGAGTAGCTGGGACTGCAGGCATGTGCCACCATACCTGGCTTTTGCCTCCTAATTTTCCTCCCAGCTGTCCCCAGAAATGCTCAGGGACCATTGTGACAGCATTGCCACATGGGAAGCTCTTGGGGTCACAATGGGCAGAGCTGGACCACACTTGCATGCAGCCTTGCAAGTGTCTGTCCTCTGCAAGGCCAGGGCCAGATGGGGTCCGAGAGTCCAGCCTGCCGCCAAGTGCGTTTCCTCAGATTCACCAGACCGAGGCCATCCCTTGAGGTAGGTGTACTGTCCTGTCCCTGGTCCGCAGAGGAAGAAAGTGAGGCTCACGGGAGCTCGATTACTTAATCCAAGGTTACCCAGCTAGTCAGCTCAGTTGTTGGATTCCCCATAAACTATTTTGGAATCTTCTTGGCTCTCAACTATATTTCAGGTTGCAAAATGATTCAAAAAGCAACAAACCTTTACACCAAAAAACAGTGGTTTTGTTAACACACACACACACATACGCACACACCACCCCCTTTGATGTGTGTTTTCTAAAGAGACAGACATGAGCAAGTGAGCAGTCGTGAGCTGCAGTGGTCTGGGAGGGCTTCCTGGAGGAGGTGAGGCTGAGTGTCAGGAATGCTCCTCGTGGGCAGCTGGGGTTTCCAGGGACAAAGAGGAAGGCGGGGAGCCACCTGTGCTCTAAGCAAAGGCAAGAAAGGCCCAGGCAGCTGAGCAGGGGCAGAGAGTTTAGGGAGGTGTGGAGCCTGAAGTTGAAGGTCAGAGAAGGGAAGGGGGAGGTGTTTGAAGACCTGAAGGGACAGAGGAGCGTAAGCCGGGCCCAGGACAACTGCAGAGGGCAGGAGGACCAGTGACAAGTCTGTGGCGGCAATGGAATGGTGGCCAGGGCTGCGGGACCCGGGTTGGGCAGAGGAACGGAAATGGGTCTCCAGATGGGAAGGAGGAGGAAGCCATGACCTTGCTGACCCACGGAGGGTGAGGAGAGGGGGGTTCCCATATCAGACAAACTGAAGGACGCAGTCATGTCCCGGGTTCAAATCCCAAGCAAATCACAACCTCCCGGAGCCTCAACTTCTTCTGTGTCGTAGTGGCTAAAACCCACCTCACGGATCCATTTGATAAAAATGTGCACAAAGTGAGTGTTCAATAAATACTGACCACGGACACACTTTTTTATTTTCTTCCTATAATAACACGTTCCTTCTTTGCTCTAAATGCTCCCATGGCTCCCACCTCATTCTGAGAAAAAGCCAAGGTTCTCACCAAGGCCTTGGAGGACCTGGCCCCCCATTACCTTTCCAATGACATTGCCTGCTGGCCTCAGGGCCTTTGCACTTGCTATTCCTGCTGCCTGAAATGCTATTCCCCAGATACCCAAATGTCCCCCTCCTCACCTTTTCCGGGTCTTTGATCAACCATCTTCTGAGTGAGACCTGCCCTGGTCACCCTGTTTAAAATCCCAAAACCTTAGCCTTCTGCCTTGTGTGACTTTTTTTTTTTTTAACTTACTCTTTCATTTATGCTGTTATGTTTATTCAGTATTGTGTGTCGCCTCCTGCCTCAGTATAACTGACACGAGGGCAGGCCTTTAGGTCTGTTGAAGGTAGTAACTCTCCCCATCCCCAGGGCCTAGAACAGTGACTGGCACATAGTAGGCACCAACTGAATGATTTTTTTTTTTTTTTGAGGCAGATCTCATTTTGTTGCCCAGGCCAGAGTGCCGTGGCGTCAGCCTAGCTCACAGTAACCTCCAACTCCTGGCTCAAGCCATCCCCCTGCCTCAGCCTCCCGAGTAGCTGAGACCACAGACATGGGCCACCAAGTCTGGCTAATTTTTTTCTATATATTTTTAGTTGGCCAATTAATTTCTTTCTATTTTTTAGTAGAGATGGGGTCTCGCTCTTGCTCAGGGTGGTCTCGAACTCTTGACCTTGATCGATCCATCCGCCTCGGCCTCCCAGAGTGCTAGGATTGCAGGCGAGAGCCACTGCCTAAATGATTCTTTTTTTCTCTACTTTCCCTGGGGGCAGCCACAGCGGCCTCAGCCCCCCGCCCAGCGCCTGGCGCACACAAAGGAATGAAAGGTAGCATTGTCCTGGGCGGGCAGTCGCTCAGTCCCGCGCCTCTGCCCCCGCGCAGGTGGTGCCCCGTCCCAGGATGGCCGCGGGCGCCCTCCTGCCGTGCCCCATGTCCCGGCTGGACTTCCTCAAGGCCTCGCACTTCCAGCTGGGGCCGGACCCGCGGCTGCGGCGGGGCGTCATGCATTCCACGTCGCACCGAGACTTCCCCGCATACCCGGTGGCCCCCCGCGCGCAGCCAACCCTGGTGCTGCCGGACAAGCGGCTCTTGCAAGCGGACGAGCGCTGTGGGCACTCGGAGTTCTTGTCGGAGGCGCGCCGCGCGTTCTCGCCGCCGTGCGCGCCGCCGCCGGAGCACCAAAGGGCGCGCAAGCTCGCCATGCTGGCCAGCAACCTGCGCGTGCACGAGGACGCGCGCACCAGCTCCAGGTTCTCCAACGCGCGCGCCGCCTACGGCTGGCCGGAGCTGCCCGCGCGCGCCCTAGAGAAGATCCGAGGCGCGCGCCTCATCTTCGACCGTGACTCGGTGCCTCCAGGAGACCCGGACAAGCTGCGCATCCCGGCCACCACGCACCAGGAGCTCTTTCCGCCCCACGACGCGTGCCCGCTGCCCCGCGCGCCCTGCAGCCACCTGGGTGAGCGCGCACTTTGCTCGACTGCAGTGGTTCTCAAAGAGGAGCCAGGACTCCATAACTCTGCCCTGGCCAGGAGACATTTGGCAATGTCTGGGGACATTTTTGGATGTCGCGGACGGGGGAAGTGGGTGCCATTAGCATGCAGTGGGTAGAGGCCAGGGATGCCGCTAAGCACTGCCACCATGCACGGGGCAGCCCCCGCGACAGAGAATCATCCAGCCCCAAGTGGCAGCAGTAACCAAGGCTCAGAAACCATGGAACCTGCTCGCAGCTGCCATTCGCGTGATTTTTGCAATTCTGTCTTTCCGGGGGCCTTCTAGGGGACACCACTAGACAGAGACCCTACAAGGTGGGCTCAGAGCTTGTCCAACCTGGATTTGGCTCTTAGTTCTGGCTCCTAATTTCTGTGATTTCTGGCAAGTCGCTGAACCTCCCTGAGCCTCAGGGGGGGTTGTAGGATGGGGTATGTAGTACCACGACCAAGAACAAGGTGCAAAGCACTTGACCTTGGTGTCTGGCTCTGTGCAGTACGTGGTAGTTATTCTTGATACTGTTAATTCTTTTTTTATTTTTTATTTTTATTTTTTTGGTGTTCACCAGATGGCCCTCAATCTAGACTGGTCAGGGACAGCCCAACTCCTCTTTCCAGGCAAGGAATGAAATTCCAGTGGTCTGAGGCTGCAGGGAATCTATTCCATTCTCTCCCTGTCTCCATCCCTCTCCTCCCCCCCCCCCCATTGCCTATCCTCAGGGGGCCCCAACATCCTCACCTGGGACTACATGAGACAGGAGGGGACTTCCTACCAGAAACAGTTCCAGGCCCTGCCGGGCCCACCTGCCTCGATGTGTAAGAGGGTAAATTGAGGCTGGATTGGGGCCGCTGAGGAGGGCAGTGATGAGGGCTGGGTGGTTTGGGCCTTCTCCTCCCTGTCTGCCCACAGGCCGCCTCCACGGTGGAATTTGGAGACTGTAAGACTGGTTATGGCCTCCTGTGTTCGGAGCAGAAACAGGCGTACAGGCCCCAGGGCCTGCCCCCAGACAGGTACAAAGGGACCACTGTCTTCCCACCCAGCTGGGACAACCGGCTCTCAGCAGCAGGTGGGATGGGACGCATAGGGTTCCGGGGCCAACACTCCGCCTTGAGGTCTCCAACACTGGCAGGCAAGGCACGCTGTTGTGCTAAAACCCCACTATCAGCGCCCTGTGACTTCGCCACCGGGCACCCCTGCCCTGCTTCCCTTCCTGGGCGTTATAAGGGCCCGGATGGATCCTACCTCACCTTACTCCTGGTAGAATAACACCTTGCCTGCAGGTATGACAAGGCGCAGGCCGCGGCCCACATCCACTATGTCAACATCCGTCCCGGAGACGGCCTCTTCCACGACAGGACCACCGCAGCGGAGCACTTCTATCCCCGGGAGCCAGGTGGGAGCTCCTGCCCGCCCCGCCTCAGGCTCCCGCAGGGTCCACCAGGGCAGCTCAGCACCTGCTCTGCCTCCGGCAGGGCCTTTTGTTTTGCACCACAGTCAGACTCCAGAGTCGCACATCCTGAAAGGAAATTGGTGCCCCGGCCCTGGCTCTCTGGCCACCCTCATGAAGTTCTTCTACGGCCAGGTCAGCAGGAAAAGAAGGCAGCAGGGCTGACCAGGGGACAGGGTTTCCCAGGCAGAGCACGTAGCAAGTGCAAAGGTCCTGGGGTGGGAATGAGCTTGACGTGTATGCAGGAGCCTCCGGGATCTATTTGAGTGATCTAGAGTAAGTCAGTCAATCACTCCGAGCCTCAGTGGCTCTGGACTAAAAACGAGATAACAGTACCAACTCCCAACGCTATCGCGTGGGGCCCAGAGAGGATGAGGGAGTGGTCCAAGGTCACACAGCGCCTGCTGCCTGCTTCCCACTGGGCCCCGCGGGACATCCCAAATGCCGGCCGCTTCCCAGATGTCATGTGGTCCTACAGCCGCCGCCCCCGACCCTGCCACCCTACCGCCACGAGCACCAACAGAACTTTGAAAGTCACATGACCCTAGGAGAGTCCAAGCTGCTTGGACACTACTTCCACACCACTATGGGCTCGGACTACTACCCCTTTGAGACAGATCCGGCATGGGCGCAGAAAGCGCCCATCCTCCACCTGCAGCCGAGCAACCTGCCCCAGGGCACCAGAGGTCAGTGTGGGCCCCGCCCCCGAAAGCCACGCCCTCGCCACAAGTCTGGCCCCGCCCACTCTCTGGCCCCGCCTCCTGAAGGGCTAAATCCCACTCCTAATTGACCAGGATCCCGACTCTCAGCATGGATAATCCCGCCCCTTCGTGGCCATGTCCCGCCCCCTGCAGGACTGGGGCTCTAGCTGGGTCTTAGCTCCGCCCCTTTCCCAATCTCTAATTCCCCCTCCCTCTGACTCTGGCTCCGCCCCCTAACCAAGTAGCCCTCCCTACCTGGCTCCACCCCCATACTCATCTGGCCGGGCCCCGCCCCTGGCCTCCTCAAGACCCCCTTCTGCATCCCCCTACCTGCTCCTAATCCAACCTTCGCCCCTGTTCCACATCAGGGCCGGCGCAGGCTTGGACCCTGAACCCTTCCCCTGCCCTTAGTCTGGCACATTCCCACCCCTCGGGCCCCCTTCACCCCCCTGGGCTCCTCAACTCAGCGGCACCCACTCAAATCTCCAGAATTCGATTTTTTAACCATGAACCAGAAGATGCTGAAGCCACACAGAGCAGCTCGAGTCCCCGTCAGTGAAGAGATTCTACAGCGGGTGAGGGAGGGAGGGGGAAGGGACACATCCCTCGCCAGGTAACCCCCAAATCAGGGTAGAGTTATCTCAGGGTGAGGGAACTGTCACCCCAGACTCAGAGTCAGTGACCACCCTAGGCTCAAGGTCATTTTAATGTCACTCCAGCATGAAAGTCATCTCCAGCTCACCCAAGGCCCTAGCAAGGCTCGTGCCTCCCACCCAAGTACTAACCAGGCCCGTCCCTGCTTAGCTTCTGAGATCGGGCGAGTTCAGGGTGATATGGCCGTAGACCCCAGGGTCATGTCAGAGTCGGCCCGGGTGCACCTTCGTATCACCAGCCATGCGTATGCACCAAGAGTTACCTAGGATTGCCCTGGCCCTGGGGTGTTTCCAGGGCACCCCTGGTTTCCCTCTGGCTTCTCATCAGCTCTTGGGTCTGCCCAGACTGGGGTCCCTTTTTCCCACCTCCCCCCCTCCCCCGCCCCAATCACCAGCCAACCCTGCCTGAGCCCCCATCCACCATTTGATGCCCCCAGGGTGGTCTGGGTGGGTCAGCCGCCCCCCAGGCTGCCCTGCGACGCTGCCCACCCTGACTCCACAGTGCAAATACAGCCACATGGAGCCCCCGCTGGGCAGACTGCGCTTCCTCTCAACCCAGCACAGGGACGAGTTTCCCGTCAAGTATCAGGGCCCAGCAGTGCTGAGAATGGGCATACCGCCGGAGGAGAGTCACGTGCCACTGGGCATGCCTCTCCAGAAGGGCTGCAGGGAGAAGATAGACCCTCAGGCCCCCCAATCCCCTACGTACCCCTGCCCCAGCCAGCAATAAACATCATCCTGGCAACATCCCACCCCTCCCCATCAGTCGGCCACAAGAGAGGATGCTTGGATGGGTGGGGACCGGAGCAAGGAGTAACTCTCTCATTAGAAATGAGAAGTAGACGCACTTGTCTGGGGTCATGGAGGGGGCTTCCCTTCTGAAGATGAAGATGAGGAGAGGGGAGGAAGGCCAGGGTGCAGGGAGAAGCTTTCAGTGGTGGAGAGGCTGTTCAAGGGCATGGACGGACACAGGTGACAGTGGCCCAGCAGTGTCCTCCGTGGTGGGCAGACTGGACAGTGCATGGTGGTGCACTGGCTGGCGGCGTCCAGGGGCAAATGGACAAAAGCCATCAGGACATGGTGATGTCCAAAGGAGTAAGTGTCCAGCGAGGGACAAAATGAAAAAGGTCGGGCCGGGCGCGGTGGCTCATGCCTGTAATCCTAGCACTCTGGGAGGCCAAGGCGGGTGGATTGCTCAAGGTCAGGAGTTCAAAACCAGCCTGAGCGAGACCATGTCTCTACTATAAAAATAGAAAGAAATTAATTGGCCAACTAATATGTATATATATAAAATTAGCCGGGCATGGTGGCACATGCCTGTAGTCCCAGCCACTCGGGAGGCTGAGGCAGGAGGATCGCTTGAGCCCAGGAGTTTGAGGTTGCTGTGAGCTAGGCTGATGCCACAGCACTCATCTAGCCTGGGCAACAGAGCAAGACTCTGTCTCAAAAAAAAAAAAAAAGAAAAGAAAAGAAAAAGGTCTAGTGGCCATGCCCAGAGCCTGCCCCTGTAGGCTGTTGAGCACCCAGTTTCAAGGAGTGAACATGGCTTTCCTGAACCTCGAGTCAGACCCCTAAAGACCAAAACCCTCAACCCAACGGGGCCACTAGTGGCCAACCTCAGCCTGGCCAGCAGCCCTTTCCCCACCAGCAACGGTTCTTCCAGGCCAAGTTTTCATCTCAGTAGGAAGTGCAGGAGTCCAGCTTTGCATCCTATGGGGACAAGATGGCCCTTGTGCCTGCACTCGTAGTATCCACATTGACCTCGAGAAAATCTGCTCGCTGCAGAGTGACTCTTATGTTTGAATCCTCTAAAGATGATTTGCATTACACTCTTTACTGTGTCTCTTCATGATAAACCAGGGTTTGTCGTTGATTGACATCTTGTATCAAATAATTCTTTGTTGGAGGCCATCCCGTGCATGGTAGGATGTTTGGCACGATCCTTGTCCTCCACCAAGTAGATGCCGGTAACACACCTCCCTCTCAGTTGTGACAACCAGAATATCTCCAGATATTGCCATATGTCCCCAGAGTGGGAGGAACTCCCCTGATTGAAAGCCACTGCAATAAATTCATCCTTTTCTGATGAAGCTGGTCTGCCTGTGGACCAGACTACTAGAACAGAAAGGGTTTCCCTTTTTGCCTTGCCTGCCAGGAAGCTTAGAAAGCTTCCTTTGGTGGCTGGGTGCAGTGGCTCACGCCTGTAATCTTAGCACTCTGGGAGGCCAAGGCGGGCAGATTGCTCCAGGTCAGGAGTTCGAAACCAGCCTGAGCAAGAGCGGGACCCCATTTCTACTATAAATAGAAAGAAATTAATTGGCCAACTAATATATATAGAAAAAAATTAGCCGGGTATGGTGGCGCATGCCTGTAGTCCCAGCTACTCGGGAGGCTGAGGCAGGAGGATCGCTTGAGCCCAGGAGTTTGAGGTTGCTGTGAGCTAGGCTGATGCCACGGCACTCACTCTAGCCTGGGCAACAAAGCAAGACTCTGTCTCAAAAAAAAAAAGAAAGCTTCTTTGGTGTTAAGTTCCACGTAGCTCCAGTTGCTGGACTATTTGGGCTGCTGCCTCATCCCAGGAATGGTTTAAAACAGCCAAGACACCAGATGAAAAATGGATAGGAGTTACAAGGAGCCAGAGTTCGGCACAACTTGAAGCATTTCATAACAATAGAACTGACCAGCCCTGGGATTGCTTGCCAGGGAAGAACAGAAACTTTATATGTTTAATGAGTGGGGAAAGACACCACATCAGGATGATTCTGGGTGTATTTTATGGATTTATCCCTTCTATATCCCACTCAGCTCCCCCTAAAGGGTATGGACTAAGAGAAATAATATCGGATTGACCATGAGAAAACCAAGATTAATGTAAAGGAAAGCAACTTTGTCAATGGTGAGCATAGCATAGCAGCAGAATTCGGATCTGCCTTTCTGTTCTTGGGCAGGAACACGCTGTGACCCTCACTTTCCTCATCTGTAAAATGGGTGTGGTGATAGTTCCTCCTTCACAGATGATTGCAAGAATTAAAATGTGTGTGTATCATGCTTAGAACAGGGCCTGGCGCTTGGCTGCAGCTCAATGAATGGTGCCTAAATTTGTTAATGTCTTAAGTTATTTTAAAATTAATTTTTTTTTTTGAGACAGAGTTTCACTCTGTTGCCTGGGCTAGAGTGCCGTGGCGTCAGCCTAGCTCACAGCAACCTCAGACTCCTGGCCTCAAGCAATCCTCCTGCCTCAGCCTCCTGAGTAGCTGGGACTGCAGGCACGCGTTACTGTGCCCGGCTAATTTTTTCTATTTTTAGTTGTTTGGCTAATTTCTATTTATAGTGGAGATGGGGTCTCGATTTTGCTCAGGCTGGTATCGACTCCTGAGCTCAAGCAATCCTCCTGCCTCGGCCTCCCAAAGTGCTAGGATTACAGGCATGAGCCACTACGCCTGGTCTGAAATTAATTTTTTTTTTTTTGAGACAGAGTCTCGCTTGTTGCCCAGGCTAGAGTGAGTGCCATGGCGTCAGCCTAGCTCACAGCAACCTCAAACTCCTGGGCTCAAGCAATCCTGCTGCCTCAGCCTCCCAAGTAGCTGGGACTACAGGCATGCGCCACCATGCCTGGCTAATTTTATATATATATATATTAGTGCCAATTAATTTCTTTCTATTTATAGTAGAGACGGGGTCCCGCTCTTGCTCAGGCTGGTTTTGAACTCATGACCTTGAGCAATCCGCCTGCCTTGGCCTCCCAGAGTGGTAGGATTACAGGCGTGAGCCACTGCGCCTGGCCTGAAATTAATTTTTAATTATTATTATTATTTTTTGAGATGCAGTCTCACTCTGTCACCTGGGCTAGAGTGCCATGGCGTCAGCCTGGCTCACAGCAACCTCAAACTCCTGAGCTCAACGATTCTCCTGCCTCAGCCTCCCAAGTAGCTGTGCCACCACACCTGACTAATTTATCTATTTTTAGTAGAGGCAGAATCTCGCTCTTGCTTAGGCTGGTCTTGAACTCCTGACCTCAAGCGATCCTCCTGCCTCAGCCCCTATAGTAGCTGGGATTACAGATGTGATTACAGATGTGAGCCACCGTGCGTGGCCTTAAGTCATTTTGATTACAAGTGACAAAAACCGAGCTCTGTCCAGCTCAAGCAAAAAGAGATTTTATGGATTTTATGGAAACAAGAAAGTCTGGGCTTGGGTCTAACATCAGGCATGCTGGTTTCACATCAGGACTCTGTCTCCTTCGCCATCTCTCAGTCCCGCCCCAAGCGGTTGTAAAAGAGTATGCTGGTATCCCCAGTGGTTACAATTAAAGACCCCAAAGAAATGCGGGGGAGGTATTCCCAGCTCAAGCCTCACATTGGAATTTAAGAAATATGCTGATTGGCCCATTTGAGTCACATGCCTAACCGTGAACCAATCGCTGTACCCAGAGGAATGGAATGCTGTGATTGGTTGGCCCTGCTCAGCCCATCTGTGGGTTACTTGGTTTCCCAAACCCCTGAGGATCACTGAATCAGGAGCCCACCCTTGCTGGACTGTCTTCTAACAACAGATCTGTGTCACACCCATCTTGCCCCCCGGTTACAATCTGGGTGATGGATGATCTGCTATTAATAATAGGCTCTTCCCAGCGACAGTGACTGTTACCTTTGTAGACAGGAACTCTTCGGTGTTTGGGAGTACCCTAGACTAGCATCAAGTGTCCCCTAATTCTCTGATAACCCCAATCTTATCTCTCGCCTCATTACCTCTCTCTTCTTCTAGCTTGGGGCAGAAATTTCGGCTCTGGCAATCCCACAAAATCAAGCAGATGTTACTTTCTTTCTAAGCTTTGGGAAGGAGAACATTCAAGAAGCTTGTGTGCTGGGCGTGGTGCCTCACACCTGTCATCCCAGCAGCCCAAGAGGGAGGATGGCTTGAGCTCAGGAGTTCGAGACCAACCTGAGCGAGAGCGAGACCCCACCCCGTCTCTACCAAAACTAAAAAAAAATTAAGCCAGGCATGGTGGCGCAGGCTGCAGTCCCAGCTACTCAGGAGGCTGAGACAAGAGGATCGCTTCAGCCCAGGAGTTTGAGGTTGCTGTGAGCTAGGCTGACCACCATGGTACTCTAGCTCGAGTGACAGAGCAAGACTCTGTCTCAAAACAAACAAAAAAACCCACCGCCTAGAGACCACCAGGAACACCCCTGTAGTCAAAAGAATCGAGGTTTATCTCGCTTGCTTCAGCGAGGACAGCATATTTGGGAACCACAGGGTGTCTTTATAAGGGGGAATTGGTGGCAGGGGAGCTTTTTATAGGATTTGGGCTTATGGTAGGTGGCTTTAAGGGAACTGGAAGCATTTCTAGGATGGTGTTGTCAGGAATCAGGGATCAAACTGGTGACTGGGTATTTCGGTGATTTATATCTCCGAGGTGGGAGGATGGAAATAGTCTTGGGATTGTCACTGGTAAGACACTGCAGTCGTTTGAGTCAGGAGAAAGGGATGTACATTCATTTTTGTGGCTGTAGAGTGTCCTTGTCATTATCTTGGTTCAGACATGGTCACAGAGTGGCCTTGTCTGATGATTGTTTATATCCTGGGCACATTGTGTATGATGTTCTGTGGCCCCGCTGCCAGGGGCCAGGACGGGTTTGTCACTTTGTCACTTTGTCACTCTCTCTCCGCAACTGGGACCTGCGTCTCCAGGTAAAGTTTGCCCAGAGCCCTTCCCAGCCCCGTCTAAGCTTCTCCAGACATCGTCACTTACCTCAGCCACCCGGAGCCCACCAGGGACCGCAGGGACCCACCACCCTCTGGGTCGGAGGCCGAAAGCACTAAGAGAGGGGCTCCCCAACGCCATTCCTTGGTGGGGGAGATTGTTAAAGGGTGTCACTCAGAAATAGGGGAGGGTCTCACCATCAAAAAAACAAAAAAAAAAACCCAAAAAACAAAACCCACCAAACAAAAATTGGAGAAATGTGGATTGAGCAGACAGGCCTGGTCTTAAACTGCAGGGCTTCTCAGGGGCTGATGCACGTGCGCGCGTCGCGAGTCTGCAAGGGCCAGAGCGTGCCTGGTGATTTTTGAACAAAGAGAGCAACTCCGGTGGCGCAATCGGTTAGCGCGCGGCGCTTCTGTGCACACAGATAGAATCAGAGACAAGGGCAGGAGGCCGAGACAGAGAGAGGGGCAGAG